TCCTGAACTCCTGTCCTCTTGACCCTTGTGTGACCCTTGTCTCTGACCACTGTTTCTAAGCCTTGACTGGTTGCTCGGGCTTGCAACAGACTAAAAGGAAAAACATTAGTAAAGATGTGCCCGTACATGTCTGTTTATGTGCCCTTCAGACAATCCCATCAGTCATTCCTCGATAGAAGTGAACAGGCACATCAAGGATAATGAAACAGTATCCAGAGCAATGATGAGGATTTGATAAAGAAAAAAAAAACTTTAAAAACACGGGGTTAAGACTTCATTTTAATCGCATTAATAGAGCTTCTTCTGTATCAAGCTGGCTTTAAAGGATAACCAGGCTTAGCAGCAAATGGCCTCACATGACAACACCCTCTGTACACATTTCCATGGGAACATGGAGGCATGTGATGTGAGTTTTTGTGTTGTTTCATGGACCCTTAGCAAAAAAAAAGGCACTCCATAATTATGTCTAACAGTGATTAAACTTTACTTTTTCTTCCTTAACTCTGTTTCCAGAGATTTCCCAGTACTCCCTAGAATTCCTGCCTGTAAGGAGAAAACAGCACATTAGGCATCAGTGGAATGTATTTTTAATTTTGACCTTATAAAAACAAAGAGTCTAAGTCAGCAAGTTCATGTTCCATCATGTTTTGGTGACTCAGGGATCCGTAAACATTAACTAGCAGGAGAAAATCTAATTATTACTGTTCTGCTTTATTTTCTATCAGTGTAAAGAGGTTACATTTTCTATTTAAATTGTTAATTGCATGAGTTCCAAAGTCAACTTGTGATTAATTGCAGATTAAAAATATACTTCAACATATTTTTCATGTATCTAATGCAATAGGAGGAGATAATTATACTTCCTTAATGCAAGTGTGTGTTTATTATTGCAACAATCCAAAACAATGACAAAAACTTTCCAGAACATTCTATAGAAGTGATCATACCTCTATAGCTCATGCATGCTCCAAAATATAAAAAATACATCTATGTGCAGTAATTTCTTCTGAGTGTGACATGAGTACTTCAGGGCTCCTTAGACTAACATCTTCCATTGTGCTAATTAGCCTGTAGCATGTTGCTAGCATCTGTTAGCTTTTTGTGCTTCTGTATATCTTTTTTTTTACAGCCATCAACTAAGTCTTTGCATTCAAGAGATTTAATAAAGAAGTGTTCACTTAAAATACTGGTGGTACTCCCAGGTTCTTTGGAAATCCATTTGATTGGAAGAGCTGTAACAGTCTTAGCCCCGCCCCCAAATAATCAGATTGTTTAAAACCTGGAAGGATGTTCATGCCAACCAACAGTGATGAGGATCTCTGCCCTGCTGTTACCTAGGGATCGTCTTTGTGTTCAGAGCCAGTGAGCAATGGTCTTTTCAAACAATTAATAAAATGCTGTAACATGTGATTAATTTTAAAAAACGGTCTGCTCTGAGCACCTGTTGCCAGTTATCAGAAGTTCAGAATCAGAATCAGAAGTTTTTATTGCCATATGTGTGCCAAGTCACAACATTAGGAAATTGCTGGAGTATTTTGGTGCAGAAGGTAAGAAAGAAAAAAAAATTAATTAAGAGATAAGCAATATAAGAACTAATAAAACACTCATGATAAAATTATTAATGTAAAAAGTGGCAGGAATTAGAGAAGCAGCTACCTACACCCGTGTAGGTACTAATCTGAGTGTTTTCTAAATGGTTCAAGCACAGCATCGGGTCACGTGACTGGGACCAATCAACTTGAGTGGGCTGCCCTAGGATTTTCATTCAAAAGTCCAACTGCAGAGGGGAAGAAACTGTTTTTGTGGCGAGAGGTTCTGGTCCGAATGGATCTGAGCCTTCTGCCAGATGGGAGCGAGTTGAAGAGACTGTGTCCAGGGTGACACGAGTCAGCTATTATCCGACCTGCACGCCTCAATGTCCTAGAGGTGTACAGATCTTGAATGGAGGGGAGTTTGCAGCCAATGACCTTCTCTGCAGAGCGCATGACATGCTGCAGCCTCTTCTTGTCCCTGGTGGTAGCTCCAGCGTACCACACGGTGATGGAGGAGGTGAGGATGGACTTGATGATAGCGGTGTAGAATTGCCTCATTGACTGTGGTGATAGGTTGAATTTCTTCAATTGCCTCAGGAAGTACATCCTCTGCTGGGCCTTTTTTCTGATGGAGGTGATGGTGGGCTCCCATTTGAGGTCCTGGGTGATGGTGGTGCCCAGGAAGCGACATGAGTCCACCATCGTGATGGGAGTGTCAGACAGGTTTAAGGGGGGGATGGGGTGTGTGTGTTTCCTAAAGTCCACAACAACCTCCGCTGTCTTCTGGGTGTTTAGCACCAGGTTGTTGTGGCTGCACCAGGACACCAGACGTTCAGCCTCCATTCTGTGAGCGGACTCATCCCCATTAGAGATGAGTCCGATGATGGTGGTGTCGTCAGCAAACTTAATTAGTTTGACAGACTCAATACAGACAGTTATTTATCATTGCCACAGCCTTCAGGACAGGTAGTAAGTTGATAAGCAGATAAATACATTTCACTGTAATATCAAATTGTTGGTAATTTAAAAAGTAGCTTGAGATTTTTTTAGAACCATCTTTTAGTTGTTGATTCACTGGTGGCATTGTTAGTTCGACGTTAACCTTTAGCCTTCTTCACCCTATATTAGAGTAGCACAAGAAGATGCCATACAGCAGCAGCAGTTAGCGGTACAGATTGTACAAAAAAAAAAATCCAACACTCGCACTTCCACCCTTGTTCCCATCCAGGAGTGCGAGTGCGTAGTGTGTCCTGATTCTCAAGTGTGCAAGTTGACCCCGTCCCTTTTGCACCCTTGATCCGCACTTCGTCCAAGTAAGCATTAATGCGGACTTAGGCGAAGGGTGTTATCCACAATCCATTGATACAATTAATTGATGCTCTGATTGTTTTACAGAAATATATAATGTGGACCGCAATGAATGTAAATTTAGTCAAATAATTGTTTTGTTTTTTGTTTGAAAGTTGTTAATAAAGTTTTTTTTAAGTAGCACAGTGACCAGCATCCTGGCATTCATTGTGGTTGATAACACATTCTCCCTGCCCTAATTTGGCAATTATTTGCACACTTGTGCTACGCACTTGAAGCCTTACCGCACACTTGAAGCATCAGCGGCATGGAACGGCAGCAAAATGGCACTGCTTCAAATAGAATCCATTATAGTCTATCAAGGTTAACAAACCCGCCACGACGCAACAATTTCCAGACGAGTTCCAGAGGCGGGACGCTGTGCCGCACTGCACCACGCCGCTGATGATAGGATTGGGTTCTTTTCTTTTTCCACAAGCTGCTTCTGGGATTGTCAATTACTGCAGTTAACATAATGCTAGACAGGAAATCACACACTGTTTCAGTGTAAAATCCTCAGTAATTTTCAAAATAAAAGTTTGGCAGTGATGTAATTTCATTTATATGAAGCTTATGTGTGACTTAACAATTTATTTACTCACAGCATCATTCCAGAAGTGCAGCGGTGTGTTTTCATGGCTTTAATCTTGGTGGTGGAGAGGAACCGCAACATATATGACATCAAACAGCGATAACAACATGATTTCCTTCTTTTTGGTTTGATGGCAGATTGCATAAACAAACCGTAACCTTTGAAGTCTCGAGGGATTGTGTGATCTTGCGAGGAGGTTAGCGGAAGTCTCAAGGGATTTTGTGACTAAGCGAGTGGAGCGATGAGCACGGCACAGAAGCTGCGTTGCTCCTTAGACTCTCGCGGTGTGCACTCGAGTGCAGTGATTGTCGCGAGTAAACCATTCCACTGTGGTTCCGCCAGGGGCGGATTTAGGACTGAAGAAGATCCGGGGCTTAACACACGCGCGTGACACACACTAGTATATTACAAATCACAAATATTTTCAAATAAGACTCACAAACCTGAGTCAACACCAGTATCATCAAAGCTGGTGTTCTGTCGCAGTACTTTTGGTCTAAAAAACGTCCTTATGTCCATCTTCACACATGCGTTTCAGACAGAGACTGCAGAAGAAGCCGGCTGCTGAAGGGCTTCTTCAGTGGTGGAGGCTCAGGCAGGCTGTATACAAACTACTGCCAGCTGCTCCCTCTCTGTTGGACTTTGGTACTGCATGTTACTTCCACGTTTTAGATCTGGGGTTTTTCATAAAACATTCGGGGCTTGAGCCCAAGTAGCCGGGCCTAACGCCGCCCCTGGGTTCCGCACCGCTGATGCTTTCAGGATGCAGCCGGGTTTAGCCTTACTGTGCACTCCCTCCTGGTGCACTTCACAGAAGACTGTAGGGTGCATTGTGAGTATTGGTATTATATGTCCCTCTTTGGCCATTTTGGAAGGAGAAAAATTGACAATGCCCCAGCTGAGAAGGAAATCTGTGTCAATGTACCCTTCCATACAACATGAGACATTAGCCTGTTTGATGATTGTTTCACAGTAAAAGTTTTACATATAGTACATCTATGATTGTTGTCTGAAAGCAAAAGACACAGATACATTAAACACGTAGAAATTAGTTTCCCTTCCAGGTAAGTGGTTACCATGGTGATCGTAGCAGAGGTGTGATGCTGTGGCATCATCAAGTCACCTCCGTGTTATGTTTTTTTCTGCTCAGCAACTGAACCAGGTTAATTCACGGTGCTGATTGAACTCACCTGGTTTAATTGCTGAGTAGAACAAAAACATGACATGGAGATGACTTGATGATGCCTCAATATCACACCTCTGGATCACAGTCAGCCACTGACAGCAGCTTTAACATTTATGTGGTTTTGATTTTCTTCTTTTACGTTGTGTTTCAGCTTATCACAGGATTGACTCTGACAGTGGAAGTAAAGATGGTAACTCTTAATTTTGCTTTTGAAATTATGACAATCCCCGCTTTCAATCAGCCGAGTCTCGTGGGACATAAGGGGGCGGGGCCAGATACCACACAGACCCGTTTGGGGCAGGGGGGTGCAGTGGGAGGCCCATTTGACTCTGCGTAAAGTTTAAAGAGGCGCTCTATCTTTGGAGAAGACGAAGTGCTTCCAAACTTTTGCGCACCGAGTCAAGAAGAGGCGCAGACAAGCACCTAGAGTCTGCGGGTTTGTGGAGAAAAACAACAACAACAACAACAGCATCCAGGATGAACAACGTAACGAACCGGTCTGCAGATCTGAGCTGCAGCCGTGAACCTCCTGTCGCCATCGAAATCATCAGGCGTGAGTAGACTCCAGGTTCTGGTGGGGAACAGCTGATTTAGGATCTGCGCTTTACGCACCAGCGCCCTCACCTCTTCCAGGAATTTTAATGAGTCAAGCTGAGTTTTCATGTACTACTGAAGTATGGAGTGGTGAAAATAAGGATTCAGTCTGGATTTAGATGATTACTGCAGGTCCCTACGGGTTTATTCTAGAAACAGAGAGCTAGGTGCTTTCCAGTGGCGGATTTAGCAATTTGGGGGCCCAAGGCGAACACAGCCATGGGGCCCCCTTACACTAAATTTTTGACAACCTTATCTTTAACTGGATTTGCGAAACTCTACCCTCTTCTGACATGAGTTATTTTCCCTTTTTATTAGTCCTCCTATTTTTTTCCTGTATTTCTTTCCCTTTGAGTGCCTTCAATATTTGCTCTTCTTTCTGCTTCCTGTCAGTGCTCCTGTGCTTTTGCCTTTCTTTTTTTCCATTTTCCATTTTGGTCTATGTTTTCCTCCCTTTAAACTTTTTCCATTAACTTTCCTTTTCTGCTTCCTTTTGATGTTTACATTGAAAAACAATGTCACTTTCGGAAGTGAAGATAAAAGCTTTTTTAAAACAAGCTGCTTCTTTCTCTTATTGGAGCCACTATAGGATAATTCAATTTCATGCTTAATGTTTTGACTACCGCTTCGAGTTTGTTACAAAAGCTTTCATCTCTCTTCTTCTTTTTCTGCTTTCTCTACTTCTTATTTGTGGTCTTATGGCACTTGGCAAAAAAGAATTTGGTGCATAACTGCCATCAACTGGATTGGAGTGGAATGACTACCAATCACTTCCTGTTTGTGCAATAGGAATAGTCCATTGTGGCATTAACAGAGGGGTGCCAGCAGTCAGGGCTAGGGGGCCCCCTAACATAGGGGGGCCCCAGGCGACTGCCGACCTTTGCCTAATGGTAAAACCGCCACTGGACACACCATGCCGGCATATCAGCGTAATATTACCGCAATGGTATGTCTAGAAATGCGCCATGCCGGCATGGCATTGCGCGAATATTGCGGCATTCATTCTGCCTCGCTTGGTAGTAAGATTGCCGCATCAGCCCTTTGCCCCTGCAAAAGAGGGTGGTCGTGTTAGTTACATGTACTGCGCGTTGGGTGCTGACTGGAAGGAAAGCCAGCTGGACGGACACGGAGACCATGGAGCTTTTGGCCGTGCTAGCGGACGAACAGATTATTAGCTTTTTTACGGGGACGGTGAGAGACAGCCAGCTGTTCGACAGAGTAGTGAAAACACTGGCTGAGCGGACAAAAAGCAGGTCACATCAAAGCTAAAGGTCCTGAAAAAGAAATTTCATCAGTCTGACGTGTCTTCTGTCTGACGCTGAATGCGCGACCCTGTACGTCACATGTGGGGCGGGTCGCCCAGCGACATCCCTATATCCCTTCTTGATTGGAGAGGTGTCTGATGGCAGTTTGTTCTAGCTTCAGCTTTGCTACTATAAATGCCAAAATCCTCCCCAGGGTGTCGCGGCAAATCCCATTTTGAAATCGCTATGGTCCTGTAAAAACCGCTTGGAATCATGCTCCAGCTGCTCTTTGGAGGGTTACGATAAGAAGCAGTCTGGTGCAAATCTGGGTCGATTAATTATTGACTTACAAGAAAAATGGCAGGATAATTCAAATGTGAGAAATGCAGAATAACCATTCCCTGTTACTCTGGTGTGAACCAATCAGATAGCTTTAAAAAACAAAATTTGACACTATTTGTCAATCAAATCCAAAAATAAATCACTTAAATATCCACATCAAGGAAAATGTCATTTAAGAGTTGGTAATAGTGTCAAATTAATAATATTACTTATTGATTCAAATGCATCATTTGGCTCAGACATGACTGCCAACTATGAAAGTTGCCGGTTAAATCCCTGCTCCCCCAGGATTCCCTTGAACTAGAGATAATTTATCTCAGCGTGACCTTCCTAGTAAAGTAAAGGCCAAACATATTAAACAAAACAAATAAAGCTAGCACAAATTAAACTTTGTGGTTAAGTGCACCATCAACCATCCTTAAAGTAACCTGGAGGATTTCACAACATCCTATTTTATTTACACTTTTAACCAGTGTAAAACACAATATAACTCATGGAATGTGATCAAAAATGTCACAAAGGTTGGAGAAAGACACACAACCGGATTTTCATTAGCGGGAATACCAGACTTCCAATTAAACTCTTAAATCAAGGTTTATGTGAGGAATTTGGATCAAAATCTATGTATAGTTTAAACACAGATTTCTCACTTGGGTAGTAAATCCTAATGGTTGTTTTGAATGAACTCTTCCTTTTATTTCTTGTAATCATCTATGGTTTAAAGCCCAGTTTCTGCAAAGGAAACCTGTTTCCTGCGATAACTGTAAATGACTTGATGTGACTGAGAGGTTTCGGTATTAAAAAGTGCAGTAAAGCGGAAGTTGTCGCTTTTTTTAAACGGAGATTATTCCCGTAGGCTCTTTGCCTTGACTCATTTCAATAGGAAAATCAGGTAAATTAAGGAAAATGCTTTATTTACAAGTTTACATGCATTTTAATTAGAATCTGTTAGAGAAAAGCATCAGCTGACATTAGACAAGTGCAGGATCTAAAGGAGTGACTTAGATTTTTTAGTCAAAAAGTGTTACATGACACAAATGTTTGCATTTACAGACATTTTTATTAAATATGTAGAAAATGACCTTCAGAATAAAAGCATCTGTTTGCGTGTGTTTCGTTTTGACTACTAACGACTCGGGATACCAGAAAATAATTGACCAGGGGCGGCGTTAGGCCCGGCTACTTGGGCTGAAGCCCCGGATCTTTCATGATAAGCCCCGGATCTAAATCGCGGAAGTAACATGCAGTACCAAAGTCACACAGAGAGGGCGCAGCTGGCAGTAGTTTGTAAAGTCCCATTTAGTCGTCACACACACAGGTGTGTGGTGAAATTTATTCTCCGATTTTGACCCATCCCCTGAGTTGCAGACACGCCGCGCTCGGGAACTATTTGGTGGTTTAACCCCCCAATCCAACCCCAATCCAATGCTGAGTGTCAAGCAGGGATGGGTCCCATTTTTCTCAAAATCTTTGGTATGACCCGACCAGGAGTCGAACCCCTGATCTCCCGATCTCAGGGCAGACACTCTACCACTAGGCTACTTAGTCAGTATACAGTTTACCTGAGACTGAAGAGAAGCCCTTCAGCAGCTGGCTTCTGCAGTCTCTGTCTGAAACGCATGAGTGAAGATGGACATAAGGACGTTTTTTTAGACCAAAAGTACAACGACAGAACCCCAGCTCTGATGAGACTGGTGTTGACTCAGGTTTGTGAGTCTTATTTGAAAATATTTGTTGTGCTGCTGGTTTGCCTAAAGTTAGCTTACTATCAGGTAAAGTTGTTGGAGAAAGAAAGGGAATATTCACTATCATCTCACACTAAACACTAACAGGAACAATACTCTGCCCTGAATATGCTGAATATGTAGCTTCAGATTAAACATTATGTGGTACAAGATATATATATATATGATGTTGACTAGTGCGTGTCACGTGTGTGCGCGCGCGCGTGCGTGTTAAGCCCCGGATCTTCTTCAGTCCTAAATCCGCCCCTGTAATTGACACAGATTACAAGGAACATACTGCCTTTCCTTCCATTCTTTTTGTGCTGCCTTGTCATATTTCCTTTCTTTGGAAAAGAAAAATGCAGATCTGTTGTTTACACACAGTTCTGTTACTGGAAGTCTGGAAATGACTAAATGTCAGCCTCTGTCATCACAAATTGTCATGCTAATGTCTAACGTCCGCCACTTTTTCAGTCGCTCTCCATGTGTTAAAGTTATTTCTCAACCAGAATATAAAACTTGTCTGAATTTATTTGTTTTTGTGTATTTTCTGGTAAATAAGGCTTTAGGTGAGACACACAAGCTAAATCTTGTGCGAAGGGGCAATTTTCAGGACTCACTAGGACTTGATACTTCAGATCATCAATCCAGACATTTTTTCATCCAATATTTCAGCAGAAGTGTAGATGCAGTCTCACCTTTTCTCATTTTCTTTCTCTTTTTCAGATTTGAATGTTTTTGACATCATCTTGTATTCCATTCTCACCTTCATGGCGGCCATCTCCATTCTGGTTTTTATAGAGGAATGTGTCTACATCTACAGAAAAGTGCCCGCCCATAAGAAGAGCTTGATCATATGGGTGAATGGGGCAGCTCCGGTAAAGATCTTCTAAACGTCTATTTTCACAAACTTGAGCGGAACGTTTAGCATCCTCACAGCCCCCCCCCCCCCCCCCCCCCCCCCCATGTTTTCATGTTTTCCAGGTGATTAGCTCCATGTCGTGTTTGGGAATGTGGATCCCTAGAGCCGTCATATTTACCGATATGACTTCTGCTTGGTAAACACTTATTCTCCCTTTAATTCTATAGCTGAAAATCCCTGCTGTTTAGTACGGTGGCTCAGAAGGTTCAACGAAATGCAAAAGCAAAAACTCTATTCAAGATCGGGGGGAAAAAAACTCACTTTAACTAATTTTCTGACCTATGACACACTGCTTACGCTGTGCTGCATGCAGTTCCTGCTTTATGGATACCCCCCATCCTACAAATGTGCTCAGGAGTTTCTGGATGACATCTGGTCTCCTACGCACCCACCTTCTGTTTTAAATATGCTGGTTGCACATGGATATCAGATTTGTTGTTGCGTTGCAGCTTTGTGTTGTTGATGCAGCTTAGTTTAGTCTAATTGCTGCTTTTTGTTGTCACTTTACTGTTTTTTATTGTTGTGTTGCAGAGCTTTGTTGTTGCTTGTTGTTGTTGTTGTGTTGCAGCTTTGTCTTGTCATATTGCTGCTTTTTGTTTTCATGTTGCAGATCTCTGTTGATGTGTTGCAGCATTTTTCTTCTTCTGTTGCGACTTTTTGTACTTTGATCAACATTCTGTGCCGCTTTATTTTCAGAGATCAAAGTGAAACCTCCAGAACATTTTATAGAAAACAGCTGTGTTGTGTCATCTTAGCATTTTTTTTTTAATCATCCCTGGTCTTTGTTGCCGGTGCATTCCTGCAGCTACTTTGCCGTTGTGGTGTTTAAGTTCCTGATCATGATGCTGGAGGAGGTCGGTGGCGATGAGGCCTTCCTGATGCGAGCGGGCAAACACAAACTGAGGATCAGCACGGGGCCTTGTTGCTGCTGCTGCCCCTGTCTCCCACATGTGGCCATCACACGGTAAATTCCTCACTGGCACACAGTCGGACATTATCAGATGAAACACTACTTTTCCCATCCTGAGGGCTGAAATGACTAATTGTGGTTAACTTCAGAGGAAGCAAAACGTGTGGTTAGTTTAACAGTTGTGCTGTGTTATTGTCTTTTTGCATGCAGCCTTCCTTTATTCTTGACAGAAGGATGTTTTTGTAACCTGACTATGAAAAATGCATCTTACCTGCAGTGTTGGGAGTAACGTGGTACAAAAGTAATTAATTACTGTAATGCATTGCTTTTTGCTGTAATGTGGTAATGTAAGGCATTACAGGGAAAGAAAATGGTAATATTTACGCGGTACAATTGTCAGTAACGCGGTAATTACAATGCATTTTTCAAACCCAGAATCAAGATGTGGGTTTCCTAAAAATTCTAATAGCGGGAAGCCTGAAAAAAGATCCAGTATCCACATATATGACGTCATTTATGGACTCAGCTTTGTGGGCATTCTATGAGCAGAGAGGACGCAGTGGTAATGGCTCAAATACTCCAGCTGCGTCCTGCGCACGGCCACTGTTATATTCACAAAACCGCTCCACCAAAACAAAGTAATTTGTTTGCGATCGTTTACATCAGCCCATATTCTCTGGTACTTCATGTACTTTTCAGCTGAGTTCATAATCTGTGCCCCGGTGATTTCATCTCATTGCTGCTGGAGCGCAGCGCAGATTAAGTTTTTTTTTTTTTTTTTTTTTTGTGTTCGGTAGATCCCTTTGGCTGATTAGTTAGAAAGTAGGAAGTCTAGGAAACAGTTTTTCTGGAAGACGGAGAAAACATGCAGCATGCAGGAAGGTTAGAGAGAGAAAGGGCCGGAAATTATCCAAATAAAATCAAGAAAACAAAACAAAGTGCTTGAAAAGAAAAAAAGTAGGTAGATTTATCCCCAATACACATTTTTACCAGTGAAAAGCAATAATATATAAGCATTTAATATTTATACATGTGATAGAATCAGATCACCCCAGAAGTCAGTCCCACATCCAGGGCCGTATCAAGGCATTTTGGGGACCAAGGCAAATATAGGCTTGGAGCCCCCATCACCTCACTCCCTGCTCAGATGGCCCTATAAGATGGCAGTGTGCTGAGATTACAGATTGTTGTTGCTTTTATTTAATAAACAATCATTTTAAAGCACTGTTATTATATCTGACTGTTTTTAACAGCAATCCTAGCTCAGACACCACATCACTTTCCACATATATGTCATGAGCTCACTGAGCGTCACATTACCAGATTCATATTGAAGTTGTTTTGATGAAAGTAACTTAAAGTAATGCAAAAGTAGTGTAATGCCTTAGATTTAAAAATCAGTAATATTGTAATGCAATGAATTACTTTAAAATGAGGGTAACACAAGTAATAAATAATGCATTACAGTTTTGAAGTAACTTGCCCAACACTGCTTACCTGTAGTTTCAAATAGTATTCTAACATAATTTCATTTTATGGTTTCGTCTTTCAAGTGAAAATGGTAAATGGCCTGTCTTTGACAGCAACTTCTAGGGTTCTACAACCCCCTCAGGCGCTTTACAACACAATCAGTCATTCACACACGCATTCATAAGCTGGTAGAAATGAGCTACAACGTAGCCACAGCTGCCCTGAGGTGCACTGACTTAAGCAAGGCTGCCGAACACTGGCGCCACTGGTCCCTCTGACCTTCGCCTGTAGGTAAGGTTGCCCAAGGACACAGTGACTACAACAGACTGAGCGGGACTCAAACCTGCAACTTTACAATTCAGAAAAATGTGAGAAAAATTTTATGTATATTAACGCTTTTTTTTCATTTTTACATCAGATACCTTCATTATTTAGACTCAAAAAATATTTTTTCTTTTATTGAGACAGCAAAAATCCCTACTGTAAACTGATAGAAGAAAATTAGCTTGGATTTAAATGAGAAAACTCCCAAAAAGTGGCTTCAAACCAAATTGCTGCCTTCTGTCTTTGAGAGCTGAGCTGAACGGAGCTCATTTTCTAGGTATATGAAGCGAGAAGCGGGTTTTTGTTTGTAGAGTTTATATAATCTTGTAATCTTTAGCAATGGTGATGACATCCAGATGTAGATCAGTACCTCTGACTGATCCAAACTTTTTTTTAGCCTGTTTGAACAAAAGCCGTCTGTCACGTTTAAACATGAGATACGTCTCTTTTTCTATGAATCAGGGTGAACTCACTGTGGGTCATTCAACTCCGTCAGGGCAGGGTAACGTGTACGCAACGCGGGTATCACGGTCCCATCATGCCCTCCTGTTTTGGCTGGATGTTGATGGGATGTGTTGCAATCGGATAGGAAAAAAATTTTGGCAAGCTCCATTTTTTTAAGCAATAAAACAAATGTCTCCAGGCTTATTTAGGGGTTTTCGTGTGGGTGAGTAATGGCTTTTGTTATATTCTCATTTAGTTCAAACACAGAAACTCCTTTTATAATCTGCCACCCTGCAAGGGGATGTAGATTATCCCAATTATGCCAATTTGAGAAGAAAATGGACTCCGTATTTATGGGTCCTTTTACACATATGTGTAACATTTTGTATACTTTCAATTGTGTGTTCAAATGCACGCACAAATAAAAATTTTCACGTGCACAATCACAAACAGCTGGGTCGATTAAAGTCTTGTTATTTCCTGCTAAGCCTAATTCCCACTCAACTCTTAGCTCCCAACGATTCCCAGTAAAACCAGTATTCATCGTGGGAGCTCGGCTGGCACTGACTCAATAAAATTAACCCCGTGGGTCACCGTGAATTGTTTCAAAGCATCCTTCATTTCCAACTGATGATCGGAACTTCGTGGAATGCCACAATGGATTTGCGATCGTTTCTGGTCTGAAGTATGTATTTTTATTAGGGACTGTACATTTGTTTCCTGTTTCCACTTCAGGCGCACTCTCTTCCTGCTCAAACTTGGCTCCTTCCAGTTTGCCCTCCTGAAGATTGTCTTCACCATCCTCTCCATTGTCCTCTGGTATAACAAGAACTTTGACGTGGCTGATGTGAGTTTCATGGAAAACTGGCTGATGTAGTCACATTTGTTGGTGCTTGAAATAATTATTGTTTATACTAATTTAGCACTTTTTTTCAGAAATAATTTTCTGTATTTGTTTTAGGTTTAGATAATTAATATAAGTAGGTTTTTAGTCTATGAAGAAACTGAATAATTATCTCCAGCTCAGATGTTCTTTGTGTTAATAAATATTTGTGGCATGGAAAGTTTTGGTAACCTCGGCTATAGGGCTGGGCGATTAATCGAAAATGTATCGTTATCGAAATTTCTGACTCTTATCGGGATAATTTTTCACGTGTCAATAAATTTCATAATAAATAATGAAAAGATGTGTGTAGGTTGGCAACATTCATGTCCGTTTAAGAAGCTGTACCACCTTGAGTCACGTAAAAATGTGACTCGGCGTAATGCATGCGACAGCCCCATCTAGTAGACAACTACCTGTAGTTATCGCCTATTTATTGTTGTCGAGGTGAAATCCTCAATATACCATGATATTGATTTTAGGCCATATCGCCCAGCCCTACTCTGCTCAAAGTTTTGGTTTCTTTTAACTGATTACAAGTTGAATTAACCAGTTATTAGCCTTAATAGCTTTATAGAAAAAAGAAGACGTATTTTTTTGTTTTGCTTTTATCCGACCTTCATGCTGTTAAAACCGGGAAATGGATCACCAATAAGTTGTCCGTTTCTATTCTTGTTTGAATGATTTGTCTCTATTCCTCCAAAGACTTCAGGCTTTTATTGTGGAAGTTTTCAAAAAGACGGATAATCCGAATGATAACAAAGAGCCCAGGTGTCTAAATTATTTAGCATTTTCATGAGTGAATTGATCCCTTTGCAAAATGTCATTTAGCACTTGGTGCCGAAACCCTTGTTGGCAATCAGAGATCAGGTGTGAGGTTTCTTTGTCCCACCTCTTTTTAGAGAGACTATTTCATGTTTCATTTACTTTGCTGCTGCTGGGTAGCTTGAACCTTTGTCTCCCACAGATTTTCTACGGAATTAAGATCTGGTGACTCGCTAGGCTGCTCTAAGACCTCGATATGCTTCGTCTTGAGCCAGTCCTTTGTTGCCTTGGCTTGTCATGCTGGAATATCCACCCATTACCTGTTTTAATGCCATTGCTGAGGGAAAGATGTTCTTGCCCCATGATTTGACGGCACATGGCCTCGCCCAGCTTCCCGCTGGAATGGTACAGTTGTCCTGTCCCTAAAGCAAAATGTTTCCACCTTCATGCTTGCTGGTAGGTTTGGTGTTCTTGGGGTCACAGGCAGCATTGTGGGCTTCTTCCACCCCGTTCTCCTTATCATTGAAATTTTACGGGGTAAGGTCTTGCATCATTTTAATGTGCTCTTATGCCCAGGTAACTGGGAATGTTTTTATGATGCTGTTCAGCACCTTGGGCTTCTGATAACGTTGCGGAAGGTGCTCCACAAATAAAACTGATTGATTGATTGATGGAGCTCCAGGATGATGGAGATTAGCAGTTATTTCATGGTTCTTCCATTTGTGAATAATCGCACCCAGTGGTGTGTCCAGCTCTTTTAAAATGGGGTGGCCCAGGTGAGGCACTACTTTGTGCATAGGTGGCACCAATTGTTATGCTTTTTTGTTTCACCTCAAGCCTTTTGTGGACAATGAAGAGCCTATTTAAAGGGAATTCAGTGTGGTGACACCTGTGGTGGCCAATCAGATTCCAAGGGTGGCATGTGCTACCCCAGGCCACTCCCTGGACACGCCCCTGATCGCACCAAGTGTTGTCACCTTCTCATCCAGCTTCTTGGCAATGGTTTTGTTGCCCATTCCAGCCTTGTGTAGTTCCACAATCTTGTCCCTGGCATCCTCAGAAAGCTCTTTGGCCTTGGTGCGGAGTTTGTGATCTGGATAGATAGTTTCTGGACAGGTGTCTGTTGTACAGGTAATGAGTTAAGAAGGCTCCCAGTGTCCACTTGTTATCTCTATAAAACATACCTGGGAGCCAGAGATTTTACTGATTGATAGGGGATCATTTCATTCATAGAAATGCAAATTGACTTGTCATTTTTTGATAATTAATTTATTATATTTTGTTAGTGAGAAGACAGCACAATAGCACTGCACTGCTGACATACACCTACAATTAAAGAGTGATCATTTCTCAGAGTATAAGTAAAATACTCTATACGAATACAAATAATATCCTGATGCCCCCCAAAAAACCTTTTTTTTCCATCTTTTATTCAAGGTCAACAGAGTGCCCAAAAGTGTGTATGCTGCAATGACACATGTCTGTTTAGAAACAGTACATATTAATTTAGCGACCACTAAATCAACCTTGTGTTTAATCTCTTTTATGTGGAGCGAATTAGCATGCTAGTGTTGGCATGTAGTTAAGTTGTTAGCGAGTTAGTTTTCACGCCACTATTGAAGAATGTCCTGTCATTTCATCTATTAACTGTTTTTCTTCCTGTTGCCGTGGCCACCAATCAGACGAGCATCACTGGGGCATCAATTTGGATCGGTCCGTTTGTGGGCATCTTGACCATCATTGCCCTGTGGCCCGTTGCTATCGTTTTCATTCACTTAAGGACCACTTTGCAAACGCGTAAGATCGTTCCCAAGTACGCCCTGTATCAGGTGAGACACAGGTAATTTTCCCATCGATTCTTTTTTATTTTTTTTGTAAGATATTATAAAAATGTGTGTGTTTGCGTTTGTAGCTGGTGCTGATCCTGAGTCAGCTGCAGTCAGCAATCATCAACACCTTGGCCATGAGCGGAACCATCTCCTGCTCTCCGCCTTTCTCATCTCAGTACAGAGGATACAGTGAGTTTATAAAGTCAATCCTTTAATTGATTAATTGAACCAGTTTGTACGTTTATTGAACAGAAATGTTTGAGTTGTGGCAGATGGCTGCTCATACAGAGCCCAGATCTGCTGAAGGTTTCTTCCTGTTAAAGGGGAGTTTTCCTCCCCACTGTTGCTACATGCTTGCTTAATATGAAGAATTGCTGTAAAGTCACTGATGAAACAAGTCATTGACTCGGAATCTGCTGGGTTTTCCCACATAGGAAACATTTAACTGACATAATGAACCGTACTCAATGCACTAATGTGTAAGTTCAGCTGGCATGTTTGCTTTATAAAGTGCCTTGAGACAACTTTTGTGATTTCCTGCTATATAAATAAAAATTTTATTGAATTGTATTGACTGATAGGCTAATGGCTAGTTTGGATACAAACAAGCTGGGAACATAATGCTGCTGTTAATAAACACCTTTCTTTGTAAAAAGGCTTAATAATACATATTGAACACAATTTTTTGAACAAATATAGCATTCTTAACTTATTTTGATAAGACAGCGACATCATTAGACATACTCTAAGTTATGATGAGAGTCTGGTTACTGTCCCTATACTGCCATATCTGTTATATATATGAGAGCACTTCCTCTTACTAGAATCAGTGAAGTCCTTAGAACTTTCAGTTTTGAACTCTATGTGTCTTGTGCCCTCTGGTGGAACATCCCAGTACTACAGGTAACATGTGCCCTTTTTATTTGTTTTTATTGTTATAAAATAAAACGTAATAAAAGACTATCATTATTTTATCAATATTATGAATCGTGTTAAGGCATTAAATCATTAATCTGCATTAAGTCAGTGATCAATGTCTTGGTTCCCAGCCTGGGATCTGTGACTCCCCAATTGGGTATGGGTATATAAATACATATATGTATGTGTGTGTGTGTGTGTGTGTGTGTGTGTGTGTGTGTGTATCATGTTGATTCATTATTCTGATGTCTCCATTTCTTTGTGTTTGTGTGGTTTTACAGTGCTGAGTCAGCAGCTGCTGATCCTGGAGATGTTTATCATCACCTTGGTTACACGGATGCTGTATCGAAGGCAGTATGACCCTTTACCCATAGAAGAAGAAGTGCCCGATGACAATGAAAACACCAAGATGGTAGCAATACCAAGTTCTGCATGAGTGTGTGTGTGTGTGTGTGTGTGTGTGTGTGTGTGTGTGTGTGTGTGTGTGTGTGTGACAGGCAAATAATTTCCACATATCATTCTTGTTTTTGGAACAAAAACTTTTCCTTCAAGTATTTGAATAAAATACTTTATGAAATGACTAAAATATACAAATTCTATGTAAATGAGCTTTGTGGTTGTACACATGAACAGTTTGACTGATGAGGCACTCAGGTCACTTTTTAAAAAAAATGTTGTAGCAGAAAACTGTAGATTAAATCCCATACCCAAAACAAATCATCAGAATTAAGATTATCTTGTGAAAAGTGTGAATAAAATCTTGACCAAAGAAGCTAATTGTGCTAATTTAACTCCCTGGTGTAGCACTTGTAGAGGTTTGCTACAGAATACATCCTCTAGCAACTCAGACATTTTTTTATGTTTGATTTAAAAGTTAAATTTTGGGTATAGGAAGCAGTTAGGTTTTTAAGGCAGTTAAAACACCAATCATAACACCTCCACTTCCGTGCTTGTGAAGGTTTCTTCTCCAGGTGACATTGGGAATCTCTTCCAAATGTTTTGGCTGCTTGTTCACAGCACAATATTTTAAAAGGGCTGTCTTGTTTTTGTTTTGTGAAAATGTTCAACGACTGATTGGGTTTTTACTTTATCATCTGGCTTTCTGACACGTACCTCTGCCTCCTGCCTAAAGTCAACTGGGATTATTTCCAATGTCTTTCATCTGTGTGACAGTGATGGATGTTTTTTTAAATTAATTTTACAATAATTAAATGCTTAACGGTTGTACTTTAAACCAGTTCGAAATACAAATCTGTATATATATTTGTGTGAATGTGCAATTATTTACATTTTTTAAATCAAAAGGGGCCTTATATACTTTAGCACAAATCTTTTTCAGATTGCATCATTTTCTATAGGTAACACACACCCAGAAATATAACATAGGAGACATTTATACAGAAACTACAAAATAAGTCCAGAGCAGATGTTTACTTTTGAGTGTGCATTTCTTTCCATGAGTCCTTATCAAATAAACAAACATGAAAATGGCCTCAGGAATACAATGAAATATCCTGCTAAATAATTGATATTCCACAATCAAATCTAAATAAAACGATCACAGCAAATATTTAGAACAGACTCATTTAACATTTTATTTTTTGAAATACTAAACACTAGCAAGTGTGTCATTTTTTTTTTTGCTTTTCAGCTGTTCTAAAATATTATTCATATATTGTGAATTCTATGCAGTTCAATGTCCTCAGGGTTTCCTGTCAGTCTTAGTGATGGTTGGTAAAAATACATGAGTGTTTAAAAATGTTTTTACTGTAAATGTAACATTTGAGTTTAGAATTAAAGTCTTCTACCCTGTGATTGTGTAGCTGTATTGTTTATTTTTTTGTATCATCAAATACCTTATGACAAACTACAATATTAAAATTTCAATAGATTTTTATTATGCTTGCTGTCATAAAAACATTGTTAAATATGTAGAATAGTGTCTTTAAATGTGACACGAGTTTTTATTTATTTATTTTTTATTTATTTTTATTTGATTGAATTAAATTGGGACAAAATGGATCTTTACAATTTTCTGCCACCGGGGGCAGCCGAGACTTTTTATTGAATGACATTATTTGTTCCAGTGTTTAACGGAATAAAAATCCAAAAATTTCTTTTGGAAGAATAAACGGTGCCTTTTCAAGCAAGAAGAAATTTTAACGCAGCTTTTACTCAAAAAAATCCACCGATTGATGAACAAATAAACAAGCCAACGGGAACGAGGTTGACTGACATGGCTCTGACCAATCAGAAGATAGCTTTCAGCCACTTCCCAATTTTTACCCAACCACAGTAAAGTATTAGCACAGCTCCGCCCATGTACAAACCAGCTTTGTTAGACCGGATAAAGAAAGATTGGACTTACAATGTAAAATATTTTAAAAATGTAAACAACACACGAAGTAAAACGGTGGTAAAACGGAAAAAGAAATAGTTCTAACAAAATATAAATGCAGTAAATATTTAATCATATTTCAATGTAAATAAAAAACCCGTTCAACCTTAAGTAAACACTATAAAATCACGATACAAGCCCCTTAAAGACTCATGTCTGCCAACTAATTGTCCTTTTTTCGTGTCCAGCGCACGGTCGAAACCAAAATATGTATTTTATTTTGAAATGTCCAGCCGGAAACACATTTCTTTGTGCTACTTTATGTTGATGAGCCGACCTGAATGTCCCGAAATGTAGACTCGGGAAGCTGCATTGTTATTCGATCGTATCTTCTCCGGTTATTTTATGGACATTAATGAGTCGCGTCTTTTCATGTCCACTGTGGACATCGGAAATGTGGACACCGATGGAAGAGAAGGACTGCCTGTGTCTCTGTCACCAGTGCCACCGGCGGTGATGTGATGAAATGGTTGTGTTTCGTCTCTCACGTCCACATCCAGACAGCATCGTTTAACTTTTCAAAATGAGGATTTTTCTGTCTCTGCTGAAAAACACAAACCCTAAAATCGAGTATTACTCCAGGTTTTCTCCTTCCCCGCTCTCCATCAAGCAGTTCCTGGATTTTGGTGAGTAGCTAGCTAGGAAGCTGTAGAGGACGGAAACAAAACAAGAAGAAGAGGGGCCTTTAATGGTGATTAACGTGGGTTTCAACCGTGACCTCCAGGCTTTGACTGGTTATTAATAGAAACTGACCAACATGTCCTGAGGTGACAGAGTTATTGACGAGAGAGAAGTGTCCTTTTAGTTATCATTCACCTGTTAGCGCAGGTAACTGGTGGCTTTGTGCGTTACTGTGAACATGTGGTTTTTAACACGCACACCACAGGTGTTTCAGCTCAGTTTAGGACAACAGTCTGCTTACTGGGCCACAAAAAGCCTGAGTCATTGTTTTAGTCCTGAAATTTAAGCTGACTTAAGGATTTTGTTTATAGTTTGAATTGGACACAAGATCCAAAACTCATTTTTTTGCATCCGTTTGTGCTGCCATGTGGGCCTTACTTACTGCCTCTATAAACACTCCAAACGTGAAAATAAACCCATCCATTTGTTTTCTGTTAGTGTTTGTTTTTTGGAATTATGCTCCTAAAACAAGCCATTTAAAAATGTCCCTGTTTGTGATGTCACAAACTGGTAAATTAGAATAGAGTAAGTAAGTAAGTAAAAGTTTATTTATATAGCGCCTTTCTCAGATATAAATCACAAAGCGCTGTACAACATGATAAAGATCAGGGCAAATACCTCTAACCAATAAAAACATAAAAAAAAACAATAACAATGATAAACGTAGAAAATAAAATCATGACTATAAACAAAGTGAAGGTGTGAACCCGAACAAAGCCATCTTTTTGAAACATTTAGGGAGGGAACGCCTGGATGAAAAGGTGAGTTTTTAGATGATTTTTAAAGACCTCTACAGTGTTAGAAAGACAGAGATTTGAAGGTAGACTGTTCCAAAGTCTGGGTGCAATAGTCTGAAAGGCCCTTTTCCCTTTGGTTTTCAGTCTGGTTCGAGGAACAGCCAGGAGGTTTTCAGATGTGGATCTAAGGTTCCGAGAGGTGGTGTGTGGGGATAAAAACTCAGATAGGTAGCTTGGAGCCTGGTTGTTAAGAGCTCTATAGGTCAGGACTAAAACTTTAAACTGTATTCTATATTCTACCGGGAGCCAGTGGAGGGACTGTAAAAGTGGGCTGATGTGAGCTCGTCTGCTGGATTTGGTTAGGAGTCTGGCTGCTGCATTTTGGATGGCTTGAAGGCGTGAGAGGGAGGTTTTGCTGAGACCAGTAAAAAGAGCGTTACAGTAGTCTAAGCGTGATGACACAAAGGCATGGATTATTTTTTCCAGATCTGCAGTGGAAACCAGTTTACGGACTTTTGAAATGCTTCTCAGTTGAAAGAAACAAGAGCGGGAGATGGTTTTGACGTGTGAGTCTAAATTTAAAGCTGGATCAAAAATAACTCCTAGGTTTCTAATGTTGGCCTTGGCTGATGGGCAAAAAGAGGCAATTTCTTGCTCGATTTTTGGCTGAAGTTCCGGGACTGCAGCGATCAGCGTCTCTGTCTTGTTAGCATTTAAGACAAGAAAGTTGCTGGACAGCCAGTTACTGATCTGGATCAGGCAGAGTACAAGTGTGGCCAGCCTGTCCAACTGGTGTGGCATAAAGGACATATAGAGCTGAATATCATCAGCGTAGATGTGGTGGGAGATGTCTGGGAAAGACTGAATGATGCCAGCTAGGGGAAGAATATAGAATGCGAATAGTAGAGGCCCTAGAACTGAACCTTGTGGGACCCCGCATTTTAGAGAGGCAGTATCTGAAGAGAAGGTTTCGGACTTCACTGTGAATGTTCTGTTAGTGAGATAGGAAGAGAGCCAGTCTAGAGCAGAACCTGAAATCCCAGCCAGGGCATTTAACCTGTTTAGTAGTACGTTGTGGTCTACAGTGTCAAAAGCTGCACTGAGGTCAAGCAGGACCATGACAGAGCATTTCCCTGCATCAGCAGCCATCAGGAGGTCATTATGCACCCTTACTAGAGCAGTCTCAGTTGAGTGCTGCTTCAGAAAGCCAGACTGGAAGGGGTCAGAGATCTTTGACTTAGAAAACCAGGATCTGAGTTGGGTTTCAACAACCTTCTCAAGTACTTTGCTGATAAAAGGTAGCTTAGAAATGGGCCTAAAGTTACTGGTGGAGCTGTGAATAGAGCCACCTCTTACATGCAAGAGAGAGCTACTCCTGGATGAGCAGACTCCACTCCGAGCCTGCTTTGGAACTTCTCAGATAATAGCAACCTGATGGGTTGGGGTGGGGTGGGGGGAAGCTTGGCCAGCTCCAGCTTGTTTTCTTAAAGTGGCAGAGCCCTGAAATGGCTTATTCTGGAAGGTACTGAAATGTCTCAAATAAATCTGCTCAAATTGCTTTATTTGAGAGGTATTTTGTACAAAGAACTTCACAAAAGTCTATTTTAATCAACCATAGAACTATTATAACTTAAGAAAACATCCCCTTTAACATCAACTTGAGGTTTTAATTTCAGAGAAAACCAAGTGTGGTTGACTCAAAACACAAGAGTGAAGTTAGTGCCCGTGTCTCCACTGTTCTCCAGCCTTTTTTCTAATCCATCTGATGACACACTCTTACATAATTTGTTCTTGCAGCTGTGGATCGGATGTGAGCAGCAGAAAGTGTGTGAGACTGTGGATCAAGAAGGTTCAGGGGCTAAACGGCTGACTGGTGGGAATAAATGAAATGTAATTTTTACTCGAGTCATTCTCAGTCAGGTCCCGGGCAAGTCATGACATGAAAACAGGATGTGCCATTCCAAGTCTGTTTGTTTTTTATCTCTTTTGTTTCCTTTCATTTTTGCTGATGTAGGGTAAACCTTTAGCCTAGCGGTGGCAATCTCCCTTTAATCCTGCTGGGTCGTTACATTTCTAACCCCATTAGCCTCTTGAAGTCACGTACCAACACAGTCAGGATAGATACTGACACCCATCAACTGAATGGTCTAAAGCGGGGAAATTTCACCACATAAATCATCTGTTCCACTTAAATCTTAAGCAAGAGTCTCATTATTGATCTAATGTAGTTTCTCTCTTACGAGCTTTGACTTCCTAATGTGGACTTCAGCATCTGTTGAAGCTCTTGTCTGACATTAATTACAGCTACAGACAGACGGGGAGCTTTAAAACTTCTTTGGATCGCTGTGTGGTGGACAGTGTCCTGATATTTTCCACAACAGTCTTCTATGGGAGCTGCTCAGATGAACTATTCACCCTCTTTCCCTCAGGCAGAAGCTTGGGCAGCCTCAAAGTCCAGATGGAGAAACGCCTTCTCCCCTGAAGCAGTGAGGCTCATGAAATCCAACCTTTGTTCTGTCTTCCTGACTTAGTTTACTTGAACATGATTTTTTGTGTTTATTAGTGACTTTGGGTTATTTATTTATCTTTTCAAGCTAGACTGCGTCACACATTTTGTGGTTGGGTGATATTCATTACTTTTGTGAGTCGTGGAGGATGGCTGCTTATACTGAGCCAGGATTCTTTGGAGGTTTCTTCCTGTTAAAAGGGAGTTTTCCTCTCCACTGTCGCTTTATGCTTGCTTAGTACGAGGATTGCTGTAAAGTCACTGACACTAGTCAGTGACTTGATGCAATTTGCTGGGTTCCTTATATAGGAAACATTATTTCTGATTGGCTTAATGAACTGACCTGGATTGGAATGTTTATTATGTGAAGTGCCTTGAGACGACTCTTGTCGTGGTTTGGCGCTTTATAAATAAACTTGAATTGAATTGAATTGAATTTTGTAATTTCAAAAGCAAACTCAGTTTGGTTTTGTGCTTTTCATGCGTTTGCAAGCCAACATGCATGTGGGACTTGCTGCATGTTTCACAATCTGAGTGATATTAAAGCTGCGATGGTTAATTTGATAAACAAATTAGCTTAAAACATAGTTTTTCATGCCTCTTAACAATGTTCTGACACAGTAGCTATAAATATAGCATGGGCTGCATGGTGGCGCAGTGGTTAGCACTGTTGCCTCGCAGCACGAATGTTGCAGGTTCGAAACTCTGCAGCCTTTCTGCGTGGAGTTGCGTGTTCTCCCCATGCATGCGCGGGTTTCCTCCGGGTACTCCGGTTTCCCCCACAGATCACAACATGCCCTATAGGTTATGAATTGTAAGTCGCTTTGGATAAAAGCGTCTGCTAAATGAATAAACATAAACACAAACAAATATATTGTAGAGATTAAAAAAAAAGAAGAAATTAATAAAGTGGTTTTCTCACATTTGTCTAAAAAGTTTCACCCATAACGTATTTTGGACCGAAAGCAACTATTGGACCATCTGGTTGTCGGTCTCGCCGAACCACAGCACTTCCCAGGGTCCTCCACTCGTTACGCGCTCATGTATTCAGCAACAGAACATCGCTGGTGTGAGGTTTTCCGCTCAGTAATATCAGAGAAGGAGAAACAGCCAGCTGCTACCGCTTTAACTTTTGGAAAAACTACCAGAGTCCCCCCAAAAAAACCACCATCTGAAGTCACGGACACTAAAACACGTTTGAAGCTAGAACACAGCAACTGGTGTTTATCTCTCTCGTATAGTTTTGAAATGCGGGTTTCCGGCAGAAGCGTCTCGTGAAATATACCTGAGGAGAGGGTTGAGTGTTTCGTGACCATGTTTGTGTTCAAAACCTAGCTTGTTCTCGCTAAACTGGCTTTAAAGCAACACTAAACAACTTTTAACAAGATATTTTTTTAAACTGATTTCGGTGGTTCGTGAGTCAGAAACTTTACACTCTGATGCCCTCTTCTGGCCAGAAACTGCACTAAACAACTTTGATGATTTAGATAAGCGGTCGTGGGACATCTTTACCTGCTTTTTGGCTTTACTGTGCTGGTAGCTTGTAGGCTAGCAGTTAGCTTTTTCAGTTCATCGAACGTCCGTAAAAAGCACAAGTCAAGTTGTTTTCTTCTTTGTTGCATATCTCCAAACTTGTCGCTTTTTTGTGAAAATTGCCGTTTTTGAAATCAAATATGGCGTCGACGTGAATCGAGTTGGGTTTTATGCAGCAGGTGATTAACTGGAGAACCTGGATTGCAGATCCCTTTTAACTTCCCAACATTTATTTGTATTAAAAAAAATCTAGGAAACTCTAAAAACGTGTCTTTGTCTTTAAGGGAGGGAGAATGCGTGCGAGAAGACGTCCTACATGTTCCTGCGTAAGGAGCTGCCGGTGCGGCTGGCCAACACCATGAGGGAAGTCAACCTGCTGCCTGATAACCTGCTGAGTCAGCCCTCCATCAGACTCGTCCAGAAATGGTGAGAGCGTTTTCTTTGGCTTTCTTCCAGACAATAACTTTTATGATCGGCTGCGTTGTTGGGAAGCCTGTGTGACCTTTGCTCTCTGTGTGCTTTATCAGGTACATGCAGAGCTTCGTGGAGCTGCTGGATTATGAGAATAGGAAGCCAGAGGACCCTCACACTCTGAATGAGTGAGTGAATATTGACTTTATGATAAAAGTTAATGAAAGGAGCGCGTAGGGACAGAATGTCCAGCTGTTGCTCACTGGCTGTACAGGCTGCAGATAATCCCCTTAGTCCCTGCACAGGTAACTCCATGTTTGTATCATAACAATACTCCGTCTGATTAACAGAGAAATGCAGACAGGAATTTGTATAGGCCTGTCTCCACAGTTAAAGTTAAAGTACTTCCTAGAATTGGGCGACGGTGGCACAGGAGTTAAGTGCTGGCCCCGCAATCGGAAGGTTGCAGGTTCCGCTCAATCTGTTGCATTCGTTGTGTCCTTGGGCAAGACACTTAACCCACGTTGCCTGCTGGTGGTGGTCAGAGGGACCGGTGGCGCCGGTGATCGGCAACCTCGCTTCTGTCAGTGCGCCCCGGGGCTGCTGTGGCTACATTGTATCTCATCCCCACCAGTGTGTGAATGGGTGTTTGAATGGGTGAATGACTGATTGTGTTGTAAAGCGCCTTGGGGGTTCCAGGACTCTAGAAGGCGCTACAAATACAGGCCATTTACCATTTACAATTGTTCAGCCTGCTGCAAGAAACGGCAGATTGAGTTTCATCCATCCATCCATCCATCCGTCCGTTCGCTTGTATCTGCAATCTCGTTCTTTCGGTCACTACCCAAAGCTCATGGGTGAGGGTAGGAACGCAGATCGACCGGTAAATCGAGAGCTTCGCCTTCTGACTCAGCTCTCTCTTCACCACGACAGACCGGTACAATGCCCGCATCACTGCAGATGCAGCACCAATCTGCCTATCGATCTCACGCCCCAGTTTTCCCTCACTCGTGAACAAGACCCCGAGATACTTAAACTCCTCCACTTGGGGCAGGGCCTCATCCCTGACCCGGAGAAGGCATTCTACCCTTTTCCGAATCAAGAGTTGAGAGTTTATAGATAGAATTTCTCAATTCAATACATGGAAATGACAAAAATGCATCTTCACTAGCATTTTCCAAACATCAGATCAGACGCTGATCCACATGCTTTCATCTTTTTTTGTAGTTTTCTGGAGATTCTGATTGAGATCCGGAACCGTCACAACGATGTGGTTCCCACCATGGCTCAAGGGGTCATCGAGTACAAAGAGAAGTTTGGCTTTGACCCGTTCAGCAGCAGCAACATCCAGTATTTCCTCGACCGCTTTTACACCAACCGCATTTCTTTCCGCATGCTCATCAACCAGCACAGTGAGTCTCACAAACGCGCGGGCTTTCGTTTGCTCTGAGCTGTTTCTGTAAGGTGAAAGTTTTACTTCTGTGCGTTCAGCCCTCCTGTTTGGTAACGACACCAACCCGGCTCACCCCAAACACATCGGCAGCATCGATCCCACCTGCAGCGTAGCTGAAGTCGTCAGCGGTGAGTTTCAGAACTTTCCGGTCATCCAGGGTCAGAAAATAAAGGCTACTGGACTTCTGCTATCTACTTCCAGATGATTTACCTTTTCACCTGAGGAATTTTGATTGAGAGATGACAAAAAAAAAAAGCCACGTGTGTCAAAAATCACCATTAAATAATGAGCAGATATTTGTATCCTAGTTTCCCTTTCCTCTTTCTTCTGTTTCCCAAGCGTGAGCAAAGACACACATGGAGGGGCTGTATGCACCGTTTACCTCACGGGGGCCTTTTATAAATGCCTTCCAGATGTGTAGCACATCCAGAGTCCGTGCATGTGAAAAACTCGGCCGTCACCATGACTAAGCAAGTATTAGACAAGTTCATGCAGACATCTGTTGCTATGGAAACTAAGCTAGCAACAGTTAACCGAGTCCCTCAAGGTAAAAAGTTTACAAATAAAGAAGAAGCGGGTAAAATTTAATGTTTGGTTTGTACAATAAGCCAAAAGTTGTTGGAATGGTTCAGATCAAGGATGTCCAAAGTGCGGCCCGGGGGCCATTTGTGGTCCTCGGAGTGATTTTGCGTGGCCCCTAATTGTTTTTCTGGAGTGATGGGTTTTGTCTCTCCAGTGGGGTGTTCATGTAGACTCATACTCCGACATGCTCCGATTTGTGCTACTATGCTAACCTTGGAGCTAAATAAATCGCCATAAAACAATTTTTACTCTTTTTAAATTAACTAATTCATTTGCATTTTTTTTACTGTGTGGGCATCGGAACGAGCCCCCGCACCGTGAGAGCAAACATCTCAGCTCTAAAGCCGATCTTCATCTGCATACATCACACATCACGTGATCAGGAAGCAGAAAATCCATGTGTTAGGAGATCTTTTTGGGCTGCTGCTGTAATAAAAGTGAGACACGAACCGGAAAAGCTTCTGCCGATCACAATTCAACAATGGATTATGAAAGAACAGATAATGCTCGAAACGCGCGGATTCTTCCTGATGTAAGAGGTGAGTCTTCGCTTTGTTTTGGTTGTTTTGGCGTCTACATCATCCTAGCGCGCAATGTTCTGTGACTCATAAAAAAACTGTAAAAACGGTGAAAAACGCTGGCAGCGAATGAGTTAAGGGATTAACATCTTCTGTAGGCCACGAGCACTTCTGCTGAGATTTACCCACAAATGTTTCCACGATCAGAGATGCATACAGAGACTTAGTGCCTTTTTCTAACTCCAGAAATGCTCAGGAATAATTGCGGGTTTGAAACTCACTCTCAAGATTTTATAGCTGGTTTAGTTTTGGTGACTCCTCTGTTGGTGTAGATCTCTTTCTGCACCGTGGATCACCACATCCCTGCAGAGTAGCTAAATCAGCGAAGTGTTTTCTATTTTAAATCACAGTTCATGACCAGTTTGTTGGTAAATTTCATTGGTGCTCCAGCGCTGGGGTTTAGACTGATTGGGTCTGAGCCAAGAGCACTGCAACCTGAAAATACTGGCATCCTAGTGGTGTGTTTTCCTCGGAGACGCCTGTAGTTACCGACTCTTGAGTCCCTCTAATGACAGGAGTTTAAACGAGTCTGATCTGAGGTTTAGTGAAAATAACCCTGAACAAGTCAAATGTTAAGGTTGTTTTTAACTCTGTCATGCCAAAAACCTAGAAAGTCACAGCAACCTGAGGCCCTGTACACACAGAGGGGGTTATCCCACAAAACGATGATCTGTTTCTACGGTTCGGTCTGTGATCCACAGGAAAGTGATGATAAACGGCACCTAAAAGTATTCTTTCAAAACCTCCGACCAAAGTGGAGATTAGCGTAATCTCCGTTGTCGGGATTTGCTTGTTGACGTAAATAGCCAGCATCCTCACTGCCGACATCTCGTGCTACCTGTTTACGCTAGCTTGTTTTTAAAATCTCAGCTACTGATCTATGTAGACCACAGGTGAAGAGTTTGGGAACTGCTGCCACCTACAGGTTTGGCATGCTTCTGAATGAACTCCGGAATGCACTGGATGTTTTTCCGGAAATCAAGGTGGTGTGGACCCATTTTATTTTCTAGATGGGTGTGGGAGGATATTGGCTTTTATAAAATCCCGGCTACATGTGCACATGGCCCACGTGTAACCCAGCTAAGGAAATCATGACCAGTAAGGATAAACTGTGACGTCCCACTTTGTGAGTTGCTTTCATTCGTTGAATATATTCCTATCATAATTTTCCCTTCAAGCTTCTCTTTACACTCACTCATAAATGCAGACAGATCATAGTGTGTTGTTGCCTGAAGGGCCGGGGATCTAACCACCAACATGCTCTGCCCCCTTTCACACGTCTTTGTTCAGATGTCTGACTGCTTTTTGTTGAGTCTGATCAGAACTAAAACTGTTTAGTTTCGGCGTCTCCGACTTTGTTGAGTCATCCCGTTTTGGTTCTTCCATCAGATGCATATGACACTGCCAAGATGTTGTGTGAGAAGTACTACTTAGCTGCCCCCGAACTCAAGATTGAGGAGTTCAACAGTAAGAGTTCCTTTAATTTTCCACCCAAATTGCTGCATGTGTGTTTGTTTGGTGCTAAGTTGTCTCTCTTGCCTCCAGTGAAGGCTCCAAAAAAGCCCATCCAGGTGGTGTACGTGCCCTCCCATCTGTTCCACATGTTGTTTGAGCTCTTCAAGGTGAGCGGAGCTGCTTTTACACCCACCGGTTCTCCGATTTTTAAATGTAATTAATTGGAATGTAAGAAGGAGATGAATGATTGAACTCTGTGGGTGTTTGCAGAACTCCATGAGGGCGACGGTGGAGCTTCATGAGAACAGCGCAGAGGGACTTCCACCTGTAAAGGCACGAGTCACTCTGGGGAAAGAGGATCTCTCAATTAAGGTAAACAAACAAGTGAAGCGTTATTTGAACCTTTTCGCCTCTGCTTGTCCTTTGTAACTTTCCAGATATTTCCTTTTAAGATCAGTGACCGAGGAGGAGGCGTTCCTCTGAGGAAGATCGACCGACTCTTTAACTACATGTACTCCACTGCCCCGACGCCGAGCCTGGAGCCAGGAGCTGTCCCGCTGGTTCGTGCTTTAACAAAAACAAATATCAGTGTTTACCCTGCTGATTAAAAAGAATAAAAACTCTTATCTCACACACTCGTGTGATAAAAATGTTCTTTTACTTTTCAGGCTGGATTTGGATACGGTTTACCCATTTCACGGCTCTATGCCCGATACTTCCAGGGGGATCTGAAACTCTACTCCATGGAGGGGGTGGGCACAGATGCAGTCATCTATCTGAAGGTGACATGACTCAGCATAATGTGAAAAGTGTTGACGTTTTGTTTGTCTCTGAAATACATTTTACTTAGCTTGGTTGAAGTTCAAAACAGTGTTTATGCATTTAAAAATGCGTTGTTTCCTGTTGAGGCTTGATTTTTCTTTCTGTTGAGTGCTATTGTAAGAAGGCGTGTAGCTTTGCTGTGGATAAAAATAGGAAGCAGGAAGAAGTACACCTCAGGCTTTGGTGTATGGTTACAAAACTGAGCAGCTGAAAAGTTCAGTTTGTTTTTATCTGAATACAGAATGACAGAGCAGGCTTTTAGAAACTCATCAACAGGTTAGAAGAACCAGGGACTTATTAAAGAGGGGCGTGTCATTTCATCAGAACTGGACTGGTTGCATTTTTGTCCATTCGTGTGCCCATAACATGGCTGAAGGAAGGTGTCAGAATAATGCTTACCTTCCTCAAACAGTACAGGGTCTTTTTATTTAAGGGCTGTGAGGCTGCATTGTGATTTGGTTTCTTTAGTGAATAAATAACAGTTTCTGCTTTTTGCAACAGTCAAACTGTTAAAGGATAGGACGAGCAACAACAGTGTCCAGTTTGACCTCCATTTTAAACATGGTAGGGATGCACAGAAAACAAAGAAGGGGGGGGGGGAGGAAAATTTGTGAAAAGCCCCAAAAATCAACGATCCCGGATGAGCCCCCAAGAATGAAATGGATTTTTCATCAAGAAGGCTGAAAGGACAAATATTTAGTCCAGGCTCATTGGAACATTTAAAGGCATTTCTGTGAAATTATAGAAACCAAAGATAAAGAGAATTTAGAACAAAGGAAGGAAGTCGCACAACTTTCGTGTGGTTTTCTAGTTTCTCCAAACACTGCTAATAATGAGAAATTATTGACAAAAGGATGCGGCACAAAGCTGGTGTCTGTAGAGGAGCCCAGAGGAGGAGGCCTTATGGCCTTTTTGCCCTTTGACCTGCAGGATCATGAGCTGTATTTAACTATATAATATGTTGCTTATTTCAACCTACATGTGAAAACTTGCTGTTTGATCTTAGCTACTGCTAAGCTAATTAGCCCATCTTTTAATACATTAAAGCTAGGATAGGAGTTCAGGCAAGCTACTTTTTGAAAACGATTCAAAGATCAACCCCCCCCCCCCTTTTTTTTTTCAGTTATCCCCTTCATGCCAGACCTCCAGAATACAGGAATGCGCAATGCTTGCTTCCAAGGATTCCACACAAAATAAGAGTGTTTTTCTCGCATTTGTCTAAAACACATTGCCAGTAATGCATCCGATTGTCAGTCTCGCAAATGTGCCGCCCATCCCTGGGTCCTCCATTCATTACACTCGAGGAGAAACGGCCAGCTGCTACCACGTTAACTTTAGGTCAAACTACCAGAGTCCCAAAAGGAAAAACACTATGTGAAGTCACAGTCAACAAAAGACGTTTGGACCTAGAAATGATGACTAGTGTTTAGCGCCATCTCGTTTCATACAGCATTGCGGGTTTTTGGTTTTGGCAGAAGCGTCTCAGGGAAAATACCCAAGTGTTTCATGACAATGTTTGCATTCAAAACCTAGCTTGTTTGCAGATTTGTTATAACAGCTTTCACGTTAGATGGTACCAACAACTCTAGACCAATACTTAGTCATGTCTTTGCTGTTGTGTTTCTCCATCTAAAGGCCCTCTCCAGTGAGTCCTTTGAGCGCCTGCCTGTATTCAACAAGTCAGCTTGGCGCCATTACAAGACCAGTCCGGAGGCGGACGACTGGAGCAACCCCAGCAAAGAGCCACGAGATGCCAGCAAGTCCATTTACAAAGCCAACAGATAATTCTGTCTGGCCCACTAGCGTAGCGCTCGGCGTGGAGCATGCACACCTAACCATTGCCTCTGAGTGTTTGTTTAGGATTAGACTCACTTTAACATCCCTATGGTGACTTAAATTGGCACCCAGTGGCAATAACCATCTTTAACGCAGCTTTCATTGTCCATTGAACCTCCTCTAGATTCTCCCAGTGATCTCCCATTTGTAAATGGCCGTGTTCTTTGGTGACAAATGTAGAAATCATGACCATCGAGCTGAACTCACTGCATCACTGCTATCTCTCCCTCTGTCTCGTGCAGTTTGGCCTGCCCCGGCTTTGCTGACCAAGCTTTTACTCCCTGTGGCTGAATAAGCTACACGCTGCTGATTGAGAGTGTTTCTCAACATCGGGAAATGCTTTCTCATTCTGAAAACACAGGGAGAGGTTAGTGTCAGTGAAAATGGGAAGAAGAAGAGGAGGAGGTTTCATTTCTTTTATTTTTATTTATTTTTTTCTTTTAAAGAGGGACGCTTGACTGGCCAGTGTGTCTTCAGCATGGCAAAGTCTTGGTTGCACTCCTTTATGGGTTTTTTTTTCAGTCAGAGAACATTTTTGAAATCTAGCACCTTTTGAGGAAGAAAAGGATAAAGTTCAAATTATTTTTAAAGCTTTAGAACTTAAAATAAATAAATAAAAGGAAGCCCGATATGAGGAACGGGTGATGTTTTTAAAACTACCTTCAAGGTTGCGCTAGAGCTGTTTTATAGGATACGTGATAAAAACGTACGAGTTTGTGTTTCTATTTGACCTGTTTAGCTTTCTTTTCTAAAGTTAACCAGCCACTCACTGTTGACAGAGGATGTCGATTCTCGTTGGACGTTTTTGCTCACGGTCCAGCCTTACAGGACCAAACGGGTGTGTGAAAACACCCCGGTTCATTCCAGCATTGTCTGCTGAGTGGCTGCAACAACACCAGCAAGACGTATTGTTCAACCCCTCGTAGAACAAACTGGACCTGCTGCTTCTGAGTAAAGGATGCAGCTCTACATGTCTTGAATTTGTGCTGCTGCCATGATAAGTGACACGCTTGCTGCTCGGACCCGTTAACTTAACCCTGCTTTGGACTTCACCGTGCCTGACTTGAATTGCTACGAATCTCTGGAGTCTTCTGAATGAGTTTGAACAAAGCTTGTACATTTTAAAAATCCACCTGTTTTATTATGATTTAGAAGGTGCAGCTAAAGTGAATTGGTAGCTGACAGATTGTTCAGTGGTTGATAGTTTAATTATAATTTGTCAACTGTATGCTTTATATATTTTCTTATTTATACAAGGAGAAGTCATGTGGCACACAAAGAGGAGCTGTTGGATAAGAATACGGTCAAAGAAGTCTAAAATGTTTCTGGGCACTGAAATGTAGGATAACAATTGTATATTTTCTCACTTGTTAAATGTTTTGAGGCACTTTACTAAGCTTATTTGAAACTATCAATAACCAAGTCAAATTCTAGGCTGACTGAATTATTTTTAAATGATTCAAAAGGGCGAGTTCAAGCCTGAACGCGTGTTTAAAGCAGACAGTGGGACGTTTCATCCACCTGAAGCGTTTCCCTTTTCTCCTCCAGCTTCTTCTGACGTGACAAGAAGGACTGAGTGTTGGAAAGCTTCCATGTCCTGTAGGTTCTCCATGTTTCAGGCCTGTCTGTAGAGTTTCATCACTGCCACTGCCTTTGAAAACCTGCCAGTCAAACTGAGGGACTCAGTGACACATCTGCTGTAAATGAAGTGATGTCTAATAGAACTGAAGGTGGTGGTCAGTGGTCCTAGGATACACTCTCCAGTCTCCAATCTCAATGATTCTGTCGTCAGAGATTCTACCTGGACCATTTCAGAGGATATTAACAAATAAATATATTGTGGATGCTGTATATATCTATAAATATATAGATTGAAGTGATCACTGTTTTCCATCCACATAAACAAAACAACTTTCATCACAATGAGGATTCTGATGTGATTCAGCATGAAATCAACTTGCAGTACAAACTTGACAATAAAGAAATCTGTTCTGTGTGTCTCATTTGTCTGTTTTTTATGTGGATTTGATGAAAAACTTTGACGCACATACAGTTTTTATTTGTAATAACATATCCAGACACTTGCACAACAAACAATAAAAAACAGGTGTGTTTTAAAAGTTTTTACATATAATGATTAACATATTGTGTGTACAGGACATTAAAGTGTCTACATTGCAGTTAAGTATGTTACAGTGGAGGAGAAGTCTGATTTAATAATGAGCACACACGGACAAAATGAAAAGCACATTTTTGATATCAACAAAAAGTTTAGGGCTAATCTTTTGGGCCTCTACAACCCAGTTAACCCAGAGAGCTTCAGTTCCCTTTTTTTTTGTATAGAATTCAAGTACCATCAGATGTATTTTTATTTTTTTTAACAGCGGACGTTATTTTCCAAAATATCTGGTTAAAACTGATAAACTATGGAAAGGTGTTCTAAAAAAGGCTTTAAATGTATTTTTTAATCATTTAAAAATGATTGAAGTGTTTGTGAGGTCTCAGCTGTAGGGTTACTGTTTTTTGAAACGTGACCTCAAATCATAAAGATTACAATTACTCATTTGGAAGCTTTGCCCCAATAAGCCCATGGAAGTTAATATTAAAGTGTTTTAAGTTGTTTTTTTTTACCTGCTTCATACAGTCTTAACATATTTTGAAAAATTAACTCATTCCCAGTCTGGCTCTGATTAGATGAGCTAATGACTAATCTGATGTTTCCATGACAAAGGTGCATTTCTACCATCTTAAAACGCCCCTAGTCTAAAAAATCTTATAAACATTACATTTTAACTCAAGTAGTGCTTAATTAGCTTCAGATATACAGTACAGGATTATTTATATACAATTTAGTGATTATTTGAATGTGCAAATAGCTAACTGCTGAACTTCCTGTTTAGCTAAACACACTTCCGGCTAAGTCTTAAGCACTTCCTGCTGAAAAATTACTGCCAAACAATGTTATTTAGAACTCAAACTGTGTGAAAAAATGTATAAAACGTTTGTTTTTGAGACTTGAGTTTTAAGACTTGAGAAACCCACTTTTAGCTTATGGGTTATTTTTATTTTATTTTTTGGTATGTTTTTGTTTTTTGCCATTTCTACAAACTTACATTCAAAGGGCAACACATATGCCATTAAAACCATCAACACCCCCATTTGAAAGTTTCTGAACTATTGCTTTTATTTTTCTGGAAAAACAAGCAGTTATAAGAAATGCAGCATGAACCTCAAATGCTGGATTGTTTTTGCCATTTAAACACAAAACGCAGGAGACTTTTAAAACTTTTCTTTTTTTCTGTTGAGCTGGGTTTTTGTCAGAGCATGTAACTTTATTTCAGCCTTCCCTTTGTAGATTTTAATTTGTGTCCATAAGAACAACACACAATTAAGCCACCTGTGAACATTCTTGGCAATCATTCATGCTAAAATGGTGCAAAACTAGCACTAGTTAGGCAACGGGTCTCCTCTGTTTTTCTAAGGTTTGCTGCTCTAGGTAGCAGGGTTTTGTATCATATGGTGTTTACCACTATTAACCTACTCACTCACATTGAGTGTTTTTTTAATTCTAAAGTAAACTTGGCATCAAGAAAAGGACATAACAGGAGACAAATGCAGTGCAGTGGTATTATACGCAGGCTCTTAACGTCCCTATTAGTTCTGGACAATCCAAAGCAAATCTAGTCCTCATAAAAGGGAATACTGAACATTAAACCCAATCCTCCTCCTCTTCCTCTTGTTTGTCTGGTTGTCCTGACAACTGAGACGATGATGGCTTCTTAGCTCTGCAGGTGAGAACTACATTTCCCCTGATCATTGTCAGCATTGCAAATTTGCAACGTCTTTGAGGAAGGCTGTTTCCAGCTAGTGTTTGTAGCAGTGTGTGTGTGTGTGTGTTTCTTCCTTCTTTTTTGAATGACGTGTCCCCAGGCAGTGTACTGTGAGTGAAATATCAGTTCGTGTGTGTTTAAGGGAGTTCATCTACTTCTCATCTTCATCACCTTCACTCATGCTGCTGATGGAGGCAGACGCTCCTTTAGGGGAGGTAGGAGGCGATGGACGTGCATTGTACCAGCGGGCTGGGGGTGATGGGGGAGAGGGAGAGCGCAGGGGGGACAGTTCTCGGGGAGGACTATTGCAGGGGGATTCTCTGGGAGACAGTGCGTAGGACAGCATTCGTCCACTGCGCTCCTGAAACACTTGTTTCTGTGTCAAAACAACGAGAAGTCCAAGATCAGGGTCTGAGTCAATATCTAACATAAAAAAGTTTAAAGTGGGTACTTACCCACGTCCCATCCGGTCCGAAAAGTTCTAGAAAGTTGCCAATAAATTCTCGAGATTTTTCCTCCCATTTTTGAATGAGATCGTGACTCTTCTCCTCCACTCGATAAACAAAATGTTTGCTCTTTTCCTCTACATTTCGAACTTTTTCCTTCATGCGATCGACTTGGTTCTGCAGCCGATACTTCTTTTCCTGAGGACAAGCGAAAAGTGAAAGAAAAGCATTAAAAGTTGACAAGTTTTTGGTTAAAAACAGATCCCTGTCTAAATGATCTTGGGAAAATCATCACGATGATTTGATCTTAGCTTGAAAATGCAATGGCGTAATCTCTCCTTTTTCACAGATTATGCGGCTCGGTGTCTTCCCACCGTGACCTTTAGTGCACACTAAAAACAGTTGGGTTAAAAATGACCCAATTTGGGCTGTTTTTTAACCCAGCCGCTGGAGCAATATTGCACCAGCCCAGCAGTAGTTAATTTAACCCAGCAAGATGGGTTCCTCCATTTTAACCCAGCAGATGAGTTAAATATTCCACCCAAATTCTGGGTCAAAATAGCCACAAATCTGGGTAAATTCAACCACACATACGTGTTATTTACTCTATCTAAATGCTGGGTCAAATTAACCACTATTTTGGGTTGTTTCAACTAAATATGTGTTATTTACTCTACCTAAATGCTGGGTCAAATTAATTAAACTATGGGTTGTTTAAACAACATAATGTTCAGTAATCAATCCAAATGTTTGGTCAATACGCCAAATTATTTCTAACTCATTACATACAGTGCATTTTGGAAGACAGAAAATTGCACCTCTCCATACTCAACTATCAAAACATACATGCTAGACTTGGTCACGTAAAGCATATACAATACAATAAAACTTCAACAATACTGAAATCTTTACAAGGCACTGCCTTGAAATTTATTCATATAAATGTAAACAATATAAAAGTTCTAATCACTTCACATCAAGAACTGCAACAATGTACACTGAAATACATGTAACTCAGTGCTAAACAACATTTAAATGGTCAAGAGTACATTTTACAAATACCTATTTGCTTCTTTTGCTAGCACGTATTCTACTCTGCAGAAACTTTACTAGTTTCGACTCCCCTCCTGGGATTTCATAGACGGTGGTGTAGCGTTATGCAGCGTTTGCAGGAATTTCCAGACGTGTTCACACTGCCTCGGGTATTCAATGTCTAAAATAAAGAATGCCTTGAAGCAGGCATCGACGGCCTGAAGCAGTGTGTCATGTTCCACAGCCTGACCAGCAATGATGACAAAGGCCTGAGACACATGCTGCGTATCATTTCCCAATGTCAGCACATAGGGGAATGGTCTTGTGGCCTTGGCCTCGTGGAGGTATTCCACCATGTTAGTTCCAGGCTAAAAAACAGAGAAAGAAAGCATAACAAAAAACAGATGAGAAGGAATGCGTGAGTAAGGAACAAATGTCTACCAACGTCAACTGGGTGACAGTGGCACAGGAGTTAAGTGCTTGCCCCGTAATCGAAAGGTTGCGTGTTTAAGCCCCGCTCAGTTTATCGCTGTCATTGTGTCCTTGGGCAAGACACTTAACAACCCCCCCCCCGCCTTTGTCAGTACGCACCAGGGCAGCTATGGCTACCCAGTGTGTGAATGTGCTTGTGAATGGGTGAATGACTGTGTTGTAAAGTGCCTTGGGGGTTCAGGGCTCTATAAGATGCTATATCAAATAAAGGTTATTTATCATTTAACTAGTACAGCAGAATAAAAAAAGACATTATGACAAGCATTTTCCTGGTCCTCACAAGAAATATTTAAAGAGCAAAATGCAGGTTAAAGACTCCCAGGAACCAATGTTTAGAGAAATACAATAGAAACTTGTTCCAATTTTTTTACACATATATAATTTGGACTTTTAGAGTCATTTTTGTGAGATTTTATTTTTGTTTTGCCAAACCAAGTGACGTTTGCTGAGGGAGTCCTGTTAGTTTAATCTAGTGATGCACCGATATGAAAAATTTTGGGCCGATGCCAATATCCGATATTAACATCACTGTTATGGCCGATAACCGATATTTGCCGATACCAATATACTGGCATTAATGCTTCTAAAATCAGATTTTGTATAGAATGAAAATTTTTAAAGCTGAATTTACGTTATGTACACACCACACACACATTTACAGTTCTGAGATGATTTCATTCACTGTTCACATGACTAAACAATCACACATCACCCCCCCCCCCCTCACTCTCTGAAACAGGCAAACAAATGGAGACAAGATGGAAAAAATATTGGTTGTTAATATCGGCCCGGTTTTATTTATCGAACCGATATCGATATGTAAAAAAAAAAATGACTACCTTCGGCCGATACCGATATTCATCCCCTGTTTAATCCGGAGAAAAATCTGGATTCTAATGCGGTTCTGACACAGAGGAAACTTTAAATGTTTATAATTCTACTTCTAATGGACCAAAACCATACAGCAAGGTCTGAATGGATTAAAACACAAAAGTGTTAACATATAAATATGTTAACTTCTGAGTCAGTATGGTGTGGCAACGAGGCGATCATTCAGTGGCACTGCAGCCTTGTTTTAAAAGCATAAGATGTTTTTAAAGTGACCAACACAAGCTTGTAGATGACTTGACAATATTTGGAGGTATAGAATAACAAATTTGGATATGCGTGCGTGTGTGTGTGTGTGCGCGCGCGTGCGTGTGCGTCTGCGCACACACATTCATGAGCCAAAGAATAACAGGTATATGTTAATGAAAAGATAAAAGTTTGCCTTTAGATGTACTGGAAGACTTACAGGTTTATGGTCGATGAAGGCCAAGTTACATTCTTCAATGGTGTGGCGAACCATTATAGCACTGTGGCCACGGCCGAGTTTGTAAGCAGTTGGAGGGAGCAAGCATGGCAACTGCCTCAGGCTGAGTTCACCAATGGCATCTGTTGAAGACAATATAGGTGAGAATATAATGTGGAATGGCATACATGTGATTTGTCATTTGGTATCCAAATAACATGAAACCTATGGTAACAGTTACATGCAGCCAATTCCCACCCTGTGGATGGTTATAGTGACATGTCTGTCGCGAACAAAATGGCTCTCAGAGCCAGCTCGTTGATGTGACCGATAGGAGCCGACTCCCTCCTGCAGGAGCCGGAGAGAATGACACAGACTGTACCTGCAGGCTCTAGAGCCGCTAAAAGACTGCAAAATGTGCGCTGGTGGTACGCGCGCACCAACACGCACCATACCTCTGATTGCTGTGAGACAAGGAGGAAGGGGGTGGTGAGGTTGTGGCGCACCTCCGACCACTCTGAAAGCAGGGAGAGGGATGGCACGCACAAATTGCCAGGGACAATTACTACACTGAACAAAAATATAAATGCAACACTTTTGTTTATGCTCCCATTTTTCATGAGCCGAACTCAAACATCTGAAACCTTATCTACATACACAAAATACCCATGACTCTCAAATACTGTTCTGAAATCTGTCTGCGTGTGTTAGTGAGCACTTTTCCTTTAACAAGATAATCCATCCCACCTCACAGGTGTGGCATATCAAGGGGCTAACTAGACATTATGAATAATGTGCAGGTGTGCCTTAGACTGGGATTGGGATTATCTTGTTAAAGGAAAAGTGCCCACTAACACACATGTGGACAGATTTCAGAACAATATTTGAAAGTCATGGGTATTTTGTGTTTGTAGATAAAATTCTAGGTGTTTGAGTTCAACTCATGAAAAATGAGAGCAAAAACAGAAGTGTCGCGTTTATATTTTTGTTCAGTATACATTAAAATGATAGGACCAGTAAACATTGGTGGAGACATATCTGTAAGAGACGAGCACTGCACAGTTTCCCCTACAATGGCTCAGATGTGGTGCTGCGCCACATGCGCTATTACAGAAAGTCCATCACAGCCCAGGTGAGTAATGTGCCCATCAGTTAGACTAGGGGTCTTGTTGCAGGCTTTCGACACCAGTTGGACTAAAATAGCCTAGTGAGGGAGACCAGCCTCATTGGGGAAACCTTACATTGACACAAACCATATTGACAATTGCAAAGATGGCAAGCAAGAATATATTACCTTGTGTTAACCCATCCAGGGACGAGATCAGCTTTCCCTCCCGTCTTGACAGGTACAGGATTTTCTCCGCATAAAAGGGTAGCCAAGTTTCAAACAACTTTGATGAAGCATCCCCATGCAGGATAAGAAAGTCCTGTGCAATGTACAAAATAGGAAACCTTTTTTAAACAAATTCAATGTGGCATACTAATAAAAAAAACAATCATCGTCATCACATGTTAATTATTATTTCTTTAAACGTACCATGCCTTTGCTCATTAGGTGAGGGAATTCTTGGAGGATCTGGTAGATGGTCCAATTGTTGTCCCTAATGCACTTGGCCCTGTAGACTGCAGTGTCTTGCATGTAGTCCTGTACCTGACTGAGGGGCTGGCAATTGTTTCTTCACCATTCTTTAAGCTGTGATGCGCGCTCGTCAGATATGGTACACTGTTAAAAAAAACACAAGAATTTGATTCTGACATGCAAACACATACATGATGAAAAATTTTGAACACGTAGATTCCAGTTATTGGGTGAACTTTTTAAAGGGGTCATCACCTGAAATGTTTACCTTTCTATGTTAAAACATGTATATAATGGTTTGATAATGATTGTACACTGGCCTAGAAGCCAATATTTAAAAGAGATTATATATAATCTGAATATTTGTGCTGACTATCCACAACAGAATGATAGTAAAAGTACAAGCAACATTTTTAGATCTATTTGTGTCTTCCCCCCCCCCCCCAACTATTATCAACATCTCATTCATTGAAAACATTTCCATACTGTTTTCAAAGTACTTTATTTTTTCTTCTTAATTTCAAATCCCTTATATAATATATGTAGGGAAGACGTGCCTAAAATGATTTAGCTTGAATGTATCTGAAACAACAACCGCAGCATCTAGTCTGAGTCAGAATCTTCTTTGGGTTTAGGATGAACCTGTCTAATTACTGGGAAACTTGTTTTTGACCCAACACTTGAACTCAACTCACCCCCCAAAAAAGAACACAAGCCTCGGGAAACATCAGTTTAGGCTGAACGTGAAAGGAGAAAACCCTGCAAAAGTTCTTCATAGAATACTGTAGTATTTGGAGAGGATTTTGTTTGACTTACGAACTTCAAGCTCCAACCGCTGTGAGATGTTGAAGCAGCAGTAGGAGCAGCACAGCGATACCGGCTACCGCAGTGTTTTGCCTAGCTATCTCCGTGACTGTATTTGATCAAATGACGACTCATGACCCACTAACAAAGATGGTTTATGAACAGGATGAACACTCCTCCTTTTTCTGAAACCGATTCTTATAGAGAGCGACTGAAACCCGACCAAAGACTCACGTGAACGTTATATTTGGCTTCATAAACGGCAGTTTTCGCCGAAAAGCGTCAAATTTGCAAGTGTGAGATGAATGTATTTTAAACCCACGTCAATACTAACCAAATTTAAGACTTTAATAAGTCGATTTAAGACATTTTAAATACTTTAAGCGTCTTAATTTTCCTTTCATCTCCTTTACCCAGCCGGGAGCTAGCTGGGAGCAATTTCCCGCTCCTCCCCCACACCCCACGACTGTTTCATTACCCACAGACTACTCATTAGTTCAAATGCAAAGTACAGAAGTTCCACTGGATTTTTTAATGTAAAAAAGTAATCAGAATAGCAGTTTATGAACGACACAGATAAGCTACTGACACTAGAAAAGGCTAAAGACAACCGCTAAATGGCTAGCTAGCTACATTGTTACCCAAACCAACCAACAGAGCCTCAACAACATTCAGATACCAACAGGTAACGCGGCACAGACGTGACGGGAATCAGATAGTAAACACAAACAATACAAACCTCTTATTGTTGATTTACCTCGCAACGAGGATGTTTTCCCCCACTCAGATCGAAGACAAAATGGATCCTGGCGTTGCGTTGTGGAGGATGACTGTAGATGTAATGATGTTCAAACCGGTTCAAACAAGTACAACAACCCAGGTGCTGGGTCAAGTTGCACTAAAATAACCCAAATCTCATTCAAATAACCCAAAATGGGTTACACATTTCATAACCCAGCAGTTGAGTAGATTAAATAACCCAACTGTTGCACAAAAATAACCCAAATCTCATTCAAATAACCCAAAATGGGTTACACATTTCATAACCCAGCAGTTGAGTAGATTAAATAACCCAGCAGTTTTTAGAGAGTGTGCTCTGGGGCAGGTCACAGCAAATTGTGAAGCAGATGGGAGTCAGATCTTCCAAACCTGAGGGAGTGATTCTTGACCAGATAAAGGTGGAATGCTCCCTCTGGGTTGGGAGTGAATCTGTGGCTCTGGCAAAGATGAACTATCTTGATGTTTTGTTTGAGGCTTGTCTATAGGGGTGAAGAGTAGAAACTTTTGATTTACTGGTCCATCTACGCTCTTCCAGTCCTCACCTGATTGAAAGATTGGCTGAAAGAATGGGATCCTGGATACGAGGGTGAGAAATTTTTTTCTACGTAGGCCTGAGCTGAGCTTTAGAGATAAAAAACACAGATTTCCTGCATCAAAAGGAGCGAGTTGATGTGTTTTAGACATCTGATTTGAATGCTTCCTGGTTTTCTGAGCCCGTTCTACTGTAGAAGACCCCAAGATGAGAAACTCTGTAGGCTTTCATGTGTTTATGGAAGTCAATGACCAGTCGACTATTTACAGTCCTTTAAAGGAGCAGTTGACTCGTTTAATCAATGCATTTGCAGTGTTCGGTAGGAATGAATGCCCTGTAAGCTGTTCTCAGGGTGGAATAATATACTGGTGCACCATTTCTCAAACCTAAAAGTTGTCAATTTCCCAGGTGAGCTTCAGACGGTAGGTTCTTTATACCTGATATTTAAACATCTCGCCTCGGATTGGATCACAGCAACATGACCCATCCACGGACTTGTAATTTGGATGATTTATCTCCACAAATACCCCAAGCCTGTAGGAGTTCTGCTGTGTGGTGGTGTTGCTAACGCTAACAGTTATCTTAAACTAGCAGAGACATCGTCTGCTGATTCTCAGATGTTAAACAACAACAGCCTTCCCCATTGTGAGTCAAGATCAGGGAGTCTGTGAACGCTAATTCACAGTGTGACGTAGATATGTATGGATTTTCAACTCCTAGCGTTTTATCATCAATTTCCTATCAGAAGCTAATGCAGGAGATGTGTAGGAGACTATTTCATGTTCAGCTTGCATGAAAAACACATTTAAAACTGGTTTTACAGTCACCCACACCTTTAACAAAACAGCATGTGAACATTTATATTCATTACTTCTTTGCTCTCTAAATTCTAAATGCAAAGCATGGCGGAGGAAGCATCATGGTATGGGGACTAAACAAAACGGTCATTTAAGTTGAATAGGGCTTTATAAAAATGCATTGCAAATTGAGTTACGTGAAATTTGATTCATTATTAATTAAATTGAATACATTTGAATTGTCTTTTAAGTAAATGCATTACACTGCATTTCTGTGATTTGGACTCCGATATAGTTTATTAATCCCCATCAGTGTAATACCTTGGTGACTCAGTGAGTTCACCAATGTTTTATGGTCCCTACTAACAGTCACATAATTTAGTAAACACATAAAGCTTTGTGTGTTTATTACTGTGACATTTTATGAGTGGTTTTTAAGATTGGGAAAGGATCACAAACTCTCTTGTGATTGTACGTCACTGTTCATGGTTGAGGGGTATGCCCTTACATTGATGTAGCTGACATTCAGCTCCTTAGCCGTGTAGCCACGTTGAAGATTGCGCCGGGCATAGACGTCGTAGTCTCTGACGATTCTGGTTATGATGTCAGAGGTTGAGATTCCTTCCGTTCGTTGCGTGGGCACAAACATCCCTGTTAAACAGGCACAATGATAACAAACATCCAATTACAGCCTGGGGGCTTATTTTTGGAATAAATGTGCAAAGTTATTCTATTGGATGTCTTACCTGCTTCTTTGATGTGTTTATAAACGTCCTCACTTCCTGCTGAGGAGTACGGAATATCATCATGAGCCACAAAATCGATCTGAGAAACAATCAAAGGACACATGCTGTTTGGCAAACACACAAGTAAAAGGTTCTGCAGCTAAAAGGGTCAGATCAGAAACATCCCTTCACACACTCTGGGACCAGATTCTCAAGATTTCTTATCTAATCAATTACTTCAAACTGATAAGAAGTTGCTGCTGTGAATCATTTTTCTGAACTATTTTACTCACTTGATATTGACCTGCCTGTGTCAACGGTCCAATTTGAACCCTATAATAAAAGTTATTACTCAGAAGGGAGACAATAAACTTCAGTAGACCAGAGCAGCTACATGTTAAAGTCCAAAATTGTAACAAAAGCCAATATTTATTTCCTTAATTTGTTCATAAAATGTGGTGCAATCACGTTAAACTGGATTTATGGATATTTTATTATGCGAAGTGTACAATTGCTCTCTCACACAAACACATACACTATGGGTGTCATTTTTGAAGTCAAACAGTTATAACTTAAAAGCAGTATTTTTGGGTATTTAGCCTGTCATGAGAGTTCTTTTTTCAAAGTAATATTTTCACCATGTTATTCTTATCAATGTTAAATTTCACAAGTAAATATTTAGTTAGCAAACTAAATGTTTAATTCAGGGTTAAATATTTATTTTACAAACAAAGTATTTAGATCTGACCTGAATATTTAGTTAGTGAAATAAATATTTAAATTAGGGTTAAATATTTATTTTACAAAAAAAAAATTTTAAGGTCTGACCTAAATATTTAGTTTGTAAAATACATATTAAATTTACAAAATAAATATTAGATTACTTATTTAATTAAATAAAATGTAATTAAATATTTGTGGAGCTAAACATTTAGTTTGCTAAATTAGTATTTAGGTTTAGCCTGGAAAATAAATTTTTAGATGGAATCTAAATATTTATTTGGAAAATAAATATTTAATTAGGAGCCAAATACTTTGTTTGTAAACTAAATATGTAGCTCCTAATTGAATATTTAGTTAGTAAATAAAATATTTTTTTTCGCAAACAAATATTATTGGTCGGACCCAAATATTTAGTTTGTAAAATAAACATTTAGCTCTAACCTTAATATTTAGCTTACTACCTAAATATTTAATTGGGAACTTTAACGTTTATAAATGTAAGAAAAACATGGTGAAAATAAGACTTAGAAAAATGAACTCCCATTGTTTTCTTTTATCATAGGCTAAACAACACAGATTACTGCTGTTAAGTTATTACTGTTTGACTTGACAAATGGCACCCCATAATACACACCTTATGTTTCTCAAGAAACTCTGGCGTGAGTGTCCACGGTGCATCCCTCAAAACCTCATCGACGTAGCGGCAGTGCCTCAAAGCTTCGTAGCGTTCGTGCTCTGTCATGACGGTGAAACCCTTGTACTTATGGGTCAGCTCGTCACTGCACACTGTTCAACAACAATACAGTATCGTCAGCAAACTTGATCAGATTAAGTTTAATGGCTATATTTTCATGTCTGGATTGTCTTACCTCCTACTATGAGGTAAGTATTAGGAAAAAGATCCTTGGCCTGCATGAGGGCCCGAGCGTGTCCAGCGTGGAACAGGTCAAAGATGCCATCTGCGTAGACTCGAACAGGCCGATCCACTAAAGATAACACAGTTATAGAAGATTGGACACAAAGCTTCTGGAATAATTTCAAAGTAGACAAAAAAGTTTATGTCTACAAAGGGATTTATCGTAAAACCGGTAAAAATAAATAAATAAATAAAAGTACAAAACTGTTTGAAAATAATCAGTAAAATGGTAAAAGATGACGTACCTGGGGTGCCTCTGCGAGCCTGAGCGATGGTGAGCTTCTCGTGAGGTGCACGGCAGTCACAGCTGGTCTCCCGTGCAAAGATGGCGGGCTCTCTGAGAGTCTGGGATGAAACAAGTTTGAGTGAGTCTTATGATCACCTTCCACACAAACAATTCTCCCCCCAGTGGTCCACCATACGTGATATTTTCCACACCCCTCCAACTTACAGCAACCTCCATTAGTTTATTGACCACAGCTGATGCTCACTCTGCACTGACGGCTAACAGAGCTGCACTCTCGTGCCATTGATTACTGATACTGAGCTGACATTCACTACTCTGCAATCAACTGAATCTATCAGGGTGAGGGGAAATTAGAGGCTCTGCATGGGGAGAAACAGCACAGGTAGCAACAGGAAATCAAAGCAAAGAGCGAGAAAGGACGCAAGCGATGAGATAAGCACACGAGGGTTTGGGTGCCAAGTTTACTTCAAGGTCAAAGTGTTGCAGCGTTCTGAAATGCTGGACTGGTGTGCCATCTGTTGACTGCAGGAGTAACTCTGATTCTCACTCGCACTGGGAAAAGAGACAGAGCCGAAAGTCTTGGGAGTGTGAGAGGAGAATTAAAACATAACAAACAGGTTGAGTCTCCGGAGACGCGACAGGAGCCTGACGTCAGTGTAGCTTCCAGGAACAGCAATGTAAACAAAATCCAATATGAAGGTGTGTTTCAGAGGTTTCACGCAGAATTCAAACTGACCTCTGAGAGATATGAAGAGATTGTTAGGATTCTTGCTCAAGATTAGATAGTAAAGCTGTTACCTCTGATAACCTTAGTGATCATTTTCCATTCCACTTATCCAAAATCAACAACGACACAACCGCACAGGAGAGCCACCTCTTCAGATCAAGACTCTGCAGACTTGAGGAGGTGTGGAGATCACTGATCTACATCCTTCCAGTCATGTCTAGTCAAATCAATTCAAGCCAAGTCGAGTAAGTCAAAGCCATGTCTAGTCAAGCCAAGTCTGCTTTGTCAAGTCAAATCAATTCAAGCCAAGTCGAGTAAGTCAAAGCCATGTCTAGTCAAGCCAAGTCTGCTTTGTCAAGTCAAATCAAATCAAGCCAAGTTGAGTAAGTTAAAGCCATGTCTAGTCAAGTCAAGTCTGCTTTGTCAAGTCAAATCAAGTCAAATCAAATCAAGCCAAGTCAAGTAAGTCAAAGCCATGTCTATTCAAGCCAAGTCTGCTTTGTCAAGTCAAATCAATTCAAGCCAAGTCAAGTAAGTCAAAGCCATGTCTAGTCAAGCCAAGTCTGCATTGTCAAGTCAAATCAAATCAAGCCAAGTCAAGTAAGTCAAAGCCATGTCTATTCAAGTCAAGTCTGCTTTGACAAGTCAAATCAATTCAAGCCAAGTCAAGTAAGTCAAAGCCATGTCTAGTCAAGCCAAGTCTGCTTTGTCAAGTCAAATCAAATCAAGCCAAGTTGAGTAAGTTAAAGCCATGTCTAGTCAAGTCAAGTCTGCTTTGTCAAGTCAAATCAAGTCAAATCAAATCAAGCCAAGTCAAGTAAGGCAAACATGTGTCCACAGAAGTCAATCCTGCTTTGTCAATTCTAATCGAGTCAAGCCAACTCATGTCAAGTCAAGTAAAAAATGTCAAAGTCCTGTCTAGCCAAGACAAGTCTGCTTTGTCAAGTCTAATCAAATTAAGCCAAGTCGAGTAATTCAAATTTGTGTCTACAGAAGTCAATACTGCTTTGTCAAGTCTAACTGAGTCAAGCCAGCTCATGTCAAGTCAAACAAGTCAAAGTCCTGTCTAGTCAAGACAAGTCTGCTTTGTCAAGTCTAATCAAATTATGCCAAGTCAAGTAGGTCAAAGCTGTGTCTAAAGAAGTTAAGACTGTTTTGTCAAGTCTACCCAAGTCAAGCCAACTCACGGCAAGTCAAATAAGTCAAAGCCATGTCTTGTCAAGTCAAGTCAAGGCAAGACAGAATCTTTCCCAACATGTTCAACTACTGGAGAACCATGAACTCAGACTTGGAGGAACTACCTTTCATCCATTGCTTTGTACTGGTGAAGGTCCTCTGTCGTCCAGGTCATGTGGCATAGTGGTAGTGTCCACCCTAAGACTGGGAGATCAGGGTCCGATTCCTGGACGGGTCTGACCAAAGACTTAAAAAAAAATGGGACCCAATGCCTTCCTGCCTGACACTCAGCATTAAAGGGTTGGATTGGGGGCTTAAACCACCAAATGGTTCCCGAGCGCGGCTGTGTCTGCAGCTCACCGCTCCCCCAGGGGATGGGTCAAATGCAGAGAACAAATTTCGCACACAGTGTGTGTGACAACTAATGGGACTTTAACTTTATAATCTAAAAGGTTCAAATGAAGGCAGCTGGATTCCCAAACCAGACCTCTTCCTCTCCATGACGACACCTTCAGATCCTGTGAGTAAACACCAGTATTGGAGACAACAGGCAACCCTAGTGAATTTCAGTCTGCATCCGGAACAAACTCAACTCCTTATTTTGTAGTAAAAGGTCCAGATAGGCCTTAAAATTGATCTACCACCATCGTTTCACATCAACAGCGTCTGTGGACCAAATGTTAGCATCAAAACTCACAATATCAAATATTTTACTGACCATTTAGCTATAAAACCCCAATGAAAACTACATAAACACGTATTCGATTGAGAAATTAATCATTTTTGTTTCTATTTCCTTTACAACCATCTCGCTCAATGTGTCCAATCAAACACAAGCTGTCAAGCAAGAGATGCATGAAGCGTGTCACCCACACGCACACAGCCTGTTACAGGCAAGCTAAAATTAAATCTCGTCTCATTACATGAGCGTCTGGAAGGAGTCAGAAATGTAGACAGCCGCTTAAACTTTGTGACCAGGATTGAACAGGGGCCTTTCAGGCTGGGCGGTACGAGCATGCTCAGAGAAGCCCGAGCTGGCACGAGCAAACAACATCTGCCATCAGAAGGATTAAAGCTGGGAATAAAGGCGGGGAGGCAGAAAGCAACGACGATTACCTAAAAGAGGCAAAGAAAACGGAGAGCTTGGGGAAACCTGAGGCTTCACATCAAAGAGAATGAAATACCCAGACACAAGAGGCTCTGTCTCCATCCTGCGAAGGTTATCACTCAGCAGGATGTTAATGCTATGGTAACCCCCCCCCACCCCCCCACCCCCCATCCCCAAACAAACAGCTAGTCCACTCAGCACTCTGAGCATCCTCAGCTAAAGCGTGCTACAGAGGATTTGTTTCATAACAGAGGAGGACCTTTTGTCTCATCCCTACTTCCTGTCTCTCTATCACACTCTCACACACACAAACACACACACACACAAGGCAAGAAATCAGCCAGGCACAGACTCCCTACCGTCCGGGGGTGAGGGCAGGTGTGCTCAAGCTCCTCCATTATTCCCAAAGACTCATGGGATGCAGATGAGGTTTCTCTAATATGTGACTCAGCATCAGAGAGACAATGCCTCTCTCCTCACCACTCTGTCTCCTCTGTTGTCCCCGCCTACTCCCTCTTCTGTCTCTCTGTCTATCTTCTCCCCCTCCTCTCAGCGATTTCCCTCCTGCTGGAGAAAGGAGGTCTCACTCTTTGGCTGAACCATCCCGTCCTGCGGGGAGGGTTCCATTTCACCTCTGAGGGTTTAATCACACACTTCGGTGTCAAAAACTGTAAACGACCACGCAAACTCAACTTGAAATGCAAAAACATGTGTGGAGTTGATTGTTTTGCATTAATTAAACAACGAGATGAAAGCTTTTTGTTTAAGATATGAGTGAGACATCATCCCAGTGGACAACCGTATCCATCTCCATGGTGACGGAAAAGAGGAGAGATCTCCGAGAAAGGACCAATCAGAGAGCAGGACACAGATTCAGCAGGGTAACAGTGATGGAGGAAAAAAAGGTTTAAAATATTATATTACTTCATGTGAGACTTTAATATGAATAATGAAGCAGATTTTGTCCACATTTAAGGAGTGCATCATTGTGTTTTATTATTGTTTTGTATTGTATATTAGCTGTCATAACAACAAAATAGACTCTTTATTAATGTATTAGCGTAATTAAATCACGCATTTTTGTCCATCAACTTCAGTAATTTATCTTAACGGTCTTACCTTTAGTGACCCTTTTCTGCAGCAAAGAGGATCAACAGATGCACAGCAGGAGTGTGCTCTGGCGCGACGCTGTTTCACCATCCTCCCAAACTAGGAGTTTTCTTTAGCATTCGTCGGATTGAGAATGGCTGTTTTTGCTCCAGTACAAGAAGAAAATGCAGTAGAACAAGCGTCCGGTCCGTCCCAAACACTGATCAGATGCTTGTCGCTGATGAGTAGCGACAACTGTGGGTCAAAGCCCATCTGTGACACCACAGACTCTCAGGCATGAGCCCTCCTCCTTTTGTATAGGAGGCCCCAAACTGGTTAGAACTCCCTCTTAATCCATAGACAAGTGGATTACACCCAGAGCCCCCATTTAAAACAAAAAACACCAGTTTGAATGTCAGTGAACAATCACAAATTATGACCATGCACAGATACGCTTCTAAATAGTTAAAAAATGCAGGCAGTCTGCCAACTTAAATGTGAAAATGTGAATAGAAACAACATATCATCTTGATGGCAGGTTAGAATTGAACATGCATTAGGCAAAAAACAAACAAACAAACAAAAAAACAAAAATAAATAAACTGTAATAATGGACAAAACATTCTTTGTTTGTGTCCTTATTGCTCTCACACTGCAGTGGCCTCAATCTGGGACAGGAATCTTTTGTGTCCTCTACAAGCCCAGCTGGTTTCTATGGAAATTGATTTCACAGAGGTACAGATATAGAGAACATCGTGGTTTTTTACATGTACAAATAAATGCTTTATAATTATTATTATTATTATTATTATTATTATTACTACTACTACTACTACTACTACAATTATTATTATTATTATTACTATTATTATTGCCAATGTATTTAAATGAATAAAAGGAATAACTGAGAAGGTTATTTATTTCCACATGACTTATTTTTTAAATAATGTGGCCTTGTTGGGGTTACTTATTATAATCCACATAATAACACAGTTAAGACCTCAGAGGAGACTTTATGGGCCATTCCCATCTGTACCGGGTCAGCCCGGGCCGGGTAGCGCCAGTCGGCCCCAGCCTGGCCCAGTTGATTCCACACATCCTTGCCTTAAGCCCATGTGGGCTGATTCTACCCACCAATCAGAGGCTTGCTCTAATGGAAGGTGTGAATTTGCTGTCAGCACTGGGTGTGTTGGCCCTGGTCGGCCTGAAGCAGACCCCCTCCAGAAGAGGGCTGAGAATGAGCCTTGGTTTGGCCCGGGAAAATACCAGGCCACCCAGATATGTAAACAACCTACGCCAACCCGGTACAGATGGGAATGGCCCATTAGATTGTGACACACTGCCCCCATGTGGACATATGCGGGACAGCACGACAATTAATTGGGAGAAATTGGGCAAAGCGATGTATCATTTAATAAGTGGACACGCAATGTTCTTAAATCAGAAGAGCTCTCGTTTTGTCTACTTTTAACATATGAGAACATCTAAAACTTTAATTATTTTAATTTTCATATTTTTCTAAATCTGCTTTTAGCTTAATACCCTCAAGGACGTTAATCTGCTTTTGCTGCTACCTGTTGGCCGGATCGTCCTAGTAAATGAGAAAGAGTTCTCAATCGACTCATCTGGTTGAATAAAGGTTAAAGAAAAACAGTAAAGTTAACACTTTGGATTCCTGAGTACATTTTATTTTGTAGAGTTAATTTGAATTTCAGATATATGCAATTTCATTTTTGTCAAAATATTTTGATTTGTTTGGCTGAGTTAAATACGAACGGACATTTTTGGATATCATTTTTAATTTATCAAATTTTCTTAATAAAAATTTATCAAAAATAAACTTGCAAGTTGAAAATCTGGCTGTGGGAGTTAAACTTTTTTCAACTAACGGTTTTCACTGTGGCTTTAGCGTGTCACACTGCGCTAATATCAATTTATTTTATCTGTATAACGTTTTTATTTATTTATTATAATTATAATTATTATTATTATTGTTTAGTTTCTCCACCTCTAGAATCTGGAATACTATATGATACAACAGTCTTCCAGAACTCCAGAACGTCACTTCCTGTATATGAGTTTCCCCGGGAAGGCGCTTTGGCGCGGACTGTCCTGTTGTTGTATTGACTTGCCGCCGTCGTTGTTGAGCAGCTGTCATTTTAACCACTAGATAGAAAAACATATACAAGGCCATGGCTCCAGTGTCCAACTCGGATAAAGATGTGAACGTTCCTGACGCCGGTGAGTTTGCTAACGGGTGTTAGCTTACACATATTAGCAAAGAAAGTCGCTAACAAGTTAGCTAGTTTACAACACCTGCTACGTTTCCCCACTTCAGCTTATTTGCGCGTCAGAATGAAAAGGAACATAACATGTTTAGGTGGTCTTCTTAATAAATATGTTATTTTCGTGCGGTTTCTTTTGAGGAATTAACTTTAATGCCCGTTAAGTGTTGACATACAACTAGTTAGGTTGGAGTATGTCATTAGTGGTCGTGTTTAAGGGCTTCTTTCTGAGTTTCTTGCATCAAAAAGTCAAACTGCGTCTGTTTCTCCTCAGATGATCAGGGGGATTCCTGTGGTCTGGCTAAGTCTCGCTCCAGACGAGAGAAAAGGGAGAAGGTTGGGAGGAAATCTGCTCTGGAGCAGATAAAGAAAGCCAAGTTGGGACAGAAGATTAAATATGAGGTGGGAGAGACATCATGTTGATGTTTTGTTTTACTTATGTGCTTGACTTTTATTCTGCTTCTGCTCAAGGTGGATGAGATCACCAGCGTGTACGAGGAGGTGGATGAGGAGCAGTACTCCAAGATAGTCCGAGATAGGCAGGAGGACGATTGGATCATAGATGATGGTACGGTCCAGTCCCTCTGACTCCGCCGCTCAGGTTCACGTCAGCGCCCTGATTCATGTTGATCTTTGTTTTATAGACGGAACAGGATACACGGAGGATGGACGGGAGATCTTTGATGATGATTTAGAAGACGATGTAGTAGAAAAAAGAGGTGAGATATTTTATAAAGCTCAGTAAACGGGCGGATTGTTTGTGTGAACCTTTTATTTTGTTTAAGCAGGAAAAAGAGGCGCTAAAGGAGGAGAGTCGAAGAACACGGCGAAGAAACTCTCCGTAGCCAAACCAAACACGATAAAGAGTCTCTTCATGAGCAGCAACGTGAAACGACCAGCAGAGGTGTGTTTATGATGATCGTTGGTCCGTTCTGCACACCACCGTGTAGCCGTCACACTCATCTTCTGTTTGATATTTCCAGAAAGACGTTGATCTGTCCAAAGATGACCTGCTGGGAGATATCTTACAGGACCTGAACGCTGAGGTTTCTGGTGTTTTGTCTAATGAATCTATCTGCACCATGCCCAGTATTTGTTCCAACGTTTACATCATGTTTAAGGAACTAAACTCAATTCAGTGTTTCTAATGACATTCGTACACTTGTGTCCCAGAAACCGTCTCCTCTGACTCCTCCTGTGGTCACCCTAAAGAAAAAGAAGCCGATGACATCCCCCATGAACCCATTTTCCGTCAAACCCCACGTTTCAAAGGTAGATTTTATTTTATTTTGCTTTTTGAAATTTAAAGGTCTCAGAAGAATCGGTGAAGTACTCAACGTCAAACCTGTGGTAACAGGAATCGCCCTCCGCTACGGGGTTAAAGGCCAAAGTGATCCGACCACCGCCTTTAACCCCCGCCCCTCAGCAGTCAGCTCCGCCTCCTCCCTCCACATCCCATCGTCCTCTGGAAAAGAGGAAAGAAGAAGTGAAGGAGCCGAAGGAGGTGGAAGGTTGGAATGATTTACTCCTCTGTTGAGTTAGAGCTGTGAAGAACACATCTTTGATTTCAGGCGTTTCTCTTAGAAAACGACGCTGTGGCGTTCGAGGGGGTGGACTTCGATGAACCGATGGAGGTCGATCTTGAGCAGGAGAAGAAACCTGTAGTTGAAGAAGAAGCTGAGCCTGAACCCAAAACAGCAGCAGCAGCAGCTAAAGTGGAGCCTCAGGATCCCGTTCTCATGTGAGTTTTTATTTTCATCCTTATTGGCAGATGTGTTTATTTGAGTTTGTCAGATAAGTTTGTAAAATGTTTGATTCAGACAGATTCAAGCATCGTTTTGATTTTGTAGGTCCAACAGAGTTGGAGTCTCTTGGGGTCAAGAGGAGAGTTCAGCTCCTGTGGAGGTGCAGGTGGACTCCAGCCAGCTCCCCATGGTGGAGGGCTCCGACGGGGAGCAGGTCTTCCGCTTTTACTGGTTGGATGCGTTTGAAGACCCGTACAACCAAGCAGGTGTGGCTTCATGACAGCTGCAGTTAAAACAACCCCTGTTGTAGTTTAACGCTCTAATCAGGTGCGTGTTTGGCCTAAACTCTGTTCCAGGTGTGGTGTACCTGTTTGGGAAAGTCTGGATCGAGTCGGCAAAGAGTCACGTCAGCTGCTGCGTCACTGTCAAGAACATCGAACGCATCATGTACCTTCTGCCTCGTGAATTTGTGAGTGCCGTTCTCTCAGACCGTAGAGAAACCAGATCCACGGCATCTGTCTGTTTTGTGGTAACCCTAACCCAAATAACCAGTGTTCGTATAGCGCCTTCTTAGGGTTCCACAACCCCCCAAGGCGCTTCACAACACAATCAGTCATTCACACAGTTACACGCTGGTGGGGGATGAGCTACGTTGTAGCCACAGCTAGCCTGGGGCACGCTGACAAGAGGCGAGGCTGCCGATCACAAGTGCCACCATTTTTACTGTAGAGGGCTAGAGGCTAAAATTGAGCTAACAATGCTAACTAGCTACTTTTTTCATTTACCAGCGACTTGATATTACAGTGAAATGTATATCTACTCATCGGCGAGCTAGTTTGTTCATAAACATGGGCTGCAGTACCCACGTTTCACCACAAGATGTCATTCTTACCTCATGCTCCATTAATCAAACTACAGAAAACGGACCCAAAGAGCGGAAAGGTGTCGGACACGCCTGTAGGGATGATGGAGGTCTACCAGGAGTTCAGTGAGCTCTTAGAGAAGTTTAAGATCATGAAGTTCAAGTCCAAGGTCAGAGGTCGTTTCATTTACAGACGATGAGAGAAGAAAAAATGGCGTCGTGTTTTGATCTGATGTGTTGTTTATTTTTTCAGCCGGTGCAGAAAAACTACGCCTTTGAAATTCCTGATGTGCCCAGTCAGTGTGATTACCTGGAGATCAGATACTCTGTGAGCGCACACACACACACACACACACACACACACACACACACACACACACACACACACACACACACACACACACACAAATATATTTTATATTTTGTGTTTTTCCAGGCTGAACACCCCGCTCTGCCCCCTGACCTCAAGGGGGCGACATTCTCCCACATTTTCGGGACAAACACTTCCAGCCTGGAGCATTTTCTTCTCAGCAGGAAGATCAAAGGCCCTTGCTGGTTGGACATCAAAACACCACGTAAGCCAAAATGTAAAGATATTTAGTTTTTCCTCTCCGATGCAGAGTCTTCCTAATCCAGCACTTCCACCCCATTTGCATTAGAGCTGACGAGCCAGCCGGCCAGCTGGTGTAAGGTGGAGGCCCTCGCTCTGAGGAGTGATTTAGTCTCTGTGATCAAAGACCTGCCGCCTCCGCCTCTCACCGTCATGTCCATCAGCCTGAAGACGGTTCAGAACCCCAGAACGCACCACAACGAGGTCAGAACGCCACGGCGGACGCGTAATTTTCTCGTTTGGTTTGAATGTTGTCGCTCACGCACCCTAACCCTCCGCAGATCGTGTCTTTAGCTGCACTCATTCATTATCAGTTCCACATGGATAAAGCTCCTCCTCAGCCTCCGCATCAGACTCATTTCTGTGGTGAGTCATTAGAATTGTCATTTTTATGCTATAAAGGGGGAAATCTTGGTTATTATTGATGTGCTTTTCAAAATAAGATGTGCAGTGAACTCATTAATGTCTAAATAAAACCTGTTCCCTCAGTGATCAGTAAACCAGCTGACTGCATCTTTCCCTACGACTTTAACGAGGCAGTAAGGAAGAAGGTGAGACGTCCTAGTTTGTCTGTTTGAGACAAAGTAAATGCAAAATGAGCTTCGATTGGCTGATTAGGTGCACAGATTTGTTCCAGTCGTGCACCTCTGTCTAGTTTTTGTTGTTAAAGATGAGTAAAGAAACGGCAAAAGTTGATTTATGTTTTTGTGCCTCCTCTCTGCTAGAACGGGAAGGTGGAGATAGCGGGAACAGAGCGAGCTCTGCTCGGCTTCTTCCTCGCCAAGATGCATAAGATCGACCCTGATGTGCTGGTGGTGAGTCAGAAACACTCCGGATGAAACCGGAAGCAGGAAAGCTGAGATTCTCCTGTTTAAAAATCACATTTAACCCTTTTTGTTGGGTTTTTTTCTCTTGTAGGGTCATGACATCTTTGGATTTGACTTGGAGGTTCTGTTGCAGAGGATCAACATGTGCAAGGTTCCCCACTGGTCCAAAATCGGCCGTCTCCGGAGGGCCAATATGCCCAAATTAGGGGTGAGGACGTAAACAAACGTCATCGGGACTAGAAAAGTGTTTTTCCGCTCACGCAGCAGCTAGCTAGACTGTTTTTTGTTTGCAGGGTCGTGGCGCCTTTGCAGAGAAGAGTGCGACCTGCGGCCGTCTGGTGTGCGACGTGGAGATCTCAGCCAAAGAGCTGATTCGCTGTAAGAGCTACCACCTGACTGAGCTCGCAGCGCAGGTGCTGAAGGTGGAGAGGTCCACGGTCCCCCAGGAGGCCATCAGGAACCTCTACAGGTGAGTAAAGCTTATTGGATCAAAGTGATAAAAAAGACCTTTACCCGTGTGGATCATAGATCTGTGTGTCATTCAGCGACTCTCCCCACCTGCTGTACCTGTTGGAGTTGACGTGGACCGACGCCAAGCTGATCCTGCAGATCATGTGTGAGCTCAACGTGCTTCCTCTCGCCCTGCAGATCACCAACATCGCCGGAAACGTCATGGTAACCACAAAGTCCCGCTTCTGCTGCCCTCAGCAGCTGTCTCCGTCTCTGACTTCCTTTCCACGGTCTCTTTTCAGTCTCGTACTCTGATGGGCGGCCGCTCGGAGAGGAACGAGTTCCTGCTGCTTCACGCGTTCCACGACAAAAACTACATCGTCCCCGACAAGCCGTCCTTCAGAAAAGCTCAGCTGGAGACTGTGAGGGTGCTGCAACAAACAGGCAAACTTTGTTTTAGCTTATTCCGTTAATCGTTGTTTGCTGTTGTCTGTCTTCCAGGCTGAGGGGGACGATGATGCGGATGCAGGAAAAGGAAAGAGGAAGAAGAAGGCGGCTTACGCCGGCGGTCTGGTCCTGGATCCTAAAGTTGGTGAGGCCCATTTGTCTGTGAAATGTTTCACTTCTTCATGACCCGTTTTCACTTTAAACCTTCCTTCTCCTGTCTCCGTAGGGTTCTACGATAAGTTTGTGTTGCTGCTGGACTTCAACAGCTTGTACCCCTCCATCATCCAGGAGTTCAACATCTGCTTCACCACCGTGCAGCGAGAGGCTCTCGGCTCCCGCAGGAAGAATGAGGTACGCGGGACCCAACCTATGGCTAATGCACCTGGGCTTTTAGAGGCTAACCCTAGTATCCATGGTTATAGGAGGACGATCCAGAGGAGATTCCTGAGGTTCCAGATCCCGACCTGGAAATGGGAATTCTGCCCAGAGAGATCAGGAAGCTGGTGGAACGACGTAAGCAGGTGAAGCAGCTGATGAGACAGCAGGACGTCAATACGGATCTCTACATGCAGGTACACACACACACACACACACACACACACACACACACACACACACACACACACACACACACACACACACACACACACACACACACACACACACACACACACACACACACACACATGTTTTTAGGGGGTTGTGTGGACTACGTCTTCTGAGATTTTTGTGTGGACCCTACATGCAGGTGCAGGTACACACACACACACACACACACACACACACACACAGTTAATTCCTCCAAGAGATGCAAAAGTAAAGGATTCTCGTTTTCTCAGTATGACATCCGTCAGAAGGCCCTGAAGCTAACGGCTAACAGCATGTACGGCTGTCTGGGGTTCAGCTACAGCCGCTTCTACGCCAAACCGCTCGCTGCTCTGGTCACACACAAAGGCAGAGAGGTAGGTGGAGATGTGTATCGACTCATTTGACAGGGACACATGCAGTGTTGTAGGTCCCTAGGGATGTAAGAAAATATTGATGATGCAATATATCGCAATATTTTCTTCTGCAGTACTGTATTGATTTTCAAAAGCCGTGTATCGAATTTTTGGAAGAACTTACACATTTACATTTGTGTATTTTCTTTTCTTTTGGTGCAATTCAAATGCCGACCGCTAGTTGGCAGCAGAGTGCAATGGGTTTTGTTTTCACTGTGAAATGTAATGTAAATCCCTCTGTTATGGTTCAGATACCCCATGTTAAACATGTTATGCATCCGTTTGTACTCTTTATTAAATCACTAATATCGTCTGGCTGAATGTATCGCAGTATATCCTATCATCTCCCCTGTATCGTGATAAGTATCGTATCGCCAGAATTTCACCAATACACATCCCTATAGGTCCCGCCTGATGGTAACATCCATGATTGGAGGGGAAGGTTCGCAGTGGCATCAAAGCCTGTTTTAAACTAAATTCTACACTCCATTAATAAGCTGTTCACCTACACGAACGTAAAATAATAAGTTACATAAAATACACAAGTGAACAATAAAAACTAGGGCCGGGACTTTAACGCATTAATTATGATTAATTAGAATAAAATTAACGCATTTAATCACAGCTTGCATTTCGAGCGAGGTGGAACCTTTGTCATTGCACAATTTCCTCGTAGACCGAATATCACTGACGCACACAACAATGCACAGTGCTAATGGCTACTGAAACGGAATAAAAACAGAAAGAAGTTGCCTTGCTTGGACTGATGCAGGATTTAGGAAACCCGTCCGCCTCTTTTCTTAACTTGGGGGAAAAAAAACTTCCTGACAACAACGGAGTCCGTGTCACGGACATTTTTTAGAGATCGTCTCTGCTGCAGCTGCCTGGTGGCACCGGAAACTTTACAAAAGTTGCGGTAAGCTATATTTTAAACATTTACGTAACATCTGTGCAGCGCTGAAAGCACCAGACAGAATAATTCTGTGCCCTAACAGTAGTTTATGAAAGTAGTCAAACGAGAGGCACCTGGCTGCCGCTGGGAGAACGCTCCGTGTTCTCACTACTCTGTAAACTATCACAAACAACGTGTCTTAAAGTTGAAAATAGAAGTTTAAGTTAAAACAGAAACACTCTAAAAATGTGATTAATTTATATTAATTAATTACAAAGCCTCTAATTAATTAGATTAAAATTTTTAATCGAGTCACGGCTCTAATAAATACATTATTGATGTAAAATCTAACATTCTTTACTGCTGCATATCCTCTCATGTGTACAGCTGGGGTTTGTTCTAAGCCAGAGTCAGAACCTCTTTTTGGTTCTGACCAAAAACATCCAGTAGGTTCTGCCTGGAACCCAAAACCCCCGAAACACCCTTAATAATGAGCGCCGTTCCTCCTGTCTGCTGGCATGCCCTGCTTCTTGTTTATAACACTTCGGAGGTTGCGGGCTAAGAAAATGCAGGAAATAATCAGTCTTGCTGCATTTTGTGAAAATTAACACGATTAAAGTTAACATCTGGAAATATCTGGAATTTCATAAAGCTTCATCTTCATCCTTCCTCCTCTGCTCATTCTCTGGTAGATGAAATTATTCTTAGTTTAAATATTTCTGTGTGGTTTTGTTTGAAACTGTTCTTATGTTGTGCTTTTTTCATGTGATACTTTGCGTTTTCTGAAAATGATGTGGTCCTTTTGGCTTCATCAGAACGTGATCTTCGGCTTTCGCTGCAGCGGTTTGCAGCCGAGTGTGAATCAGCTGGGATGAGAGTAGATGGAAGGATATGCATTCTTATTCGTTGCGTTTACTCTGTGGCTGTTGCTTTTCTCTTTTGTTTTAAGGTGCTTTACAAATAAAGTTTATTATTATTATTTCAGAAGAAAAATTACCTTTTATTCATACTGTATATTTATTTGTTTGGGATCTAAAAATTCTTTTTTCCAGGTTTGTAGAGTAGGTGTTTCATATCTCACACAGCTATGATTCGATCCAAACCCAGCTGGAGAAGTTATGCTCATTTTAGTGCAGCCTGCAACGACCGACGCTCTGTTGAAAACACGTGAGATTACTGTTGACTTTTCTAACCTACCTGTTGGATTTATATTTTAATTAATTTAATAATAATTTCATTTTAACTATCATGCCAAAGCATAATGTGTGTGTTTTTTTTTAGTTTGATAAGCTTCTGTAGAAATAAATGTTCTGGGGACGAGTGGAGACCTATCCAAGATGGCGTCTCGCTGCTATGCCAGCTCTGATAGACGGTCCCAGTCCACGTCGCTTCTACACATATATCTGTGGTTTACACTTGATGTTTTATTTTTGTTCTGCATTAAGATAAAACTTTTAGTTTGTACACAAATATTCACATTTTGTCTTATTTTTGCTCTAAAAAGAGAATTTGTTAAATTATGATTACTGTTTGTACAGAAAAATAAATTAGTTTAATAAAAAAAGAAATAAATGTAAGTACTTTTTTGTGAAATTTGACTAAGTAAGGTACAGAAATCCTCTTTATTTCAAGCATTAATTGCTTTTTCTTTTGTGCACGAGCTGTTTTACTGAATTATTGATCTATGATTGGTGTGGCTGCAGTGATTATTGGTAAACATTTTAGTATTTTTTTAACAAAACGAGACTTTTAGCCTGATCTTTACCCTTGAAGCACTCCCGCCGTCCTCCACAAGGCGGCGCTGTCGCCTCACTCTCAGGATCTTCTTTCCTCTTAACTTGAGTGCATCATTTTTATTCTTACTTCGTCCTGCTTCACACCTGTCTCCCTTAACGATTTCTGTGTCTCCGTTTTTAATCCTCAATCATCCAGGAAGAAACTCTTATTTCATAGAAAGTCTGATGGTGTTGGACTAATGGGAGTGCACGCTCAAACGGCTACGGCTGGTGTTGTAACGACCCCCCCCCCCCCCCCCCCCCACCATGTCAGTGATAGGACTCATGTTCATTTAATGAGCTCTAACAGTAGAAGTCCTCAGCAGAGGCATTGGGCTTTGCCTCGGGGGACTCCTTCATTAAGATCCTCTTACACACTCATTGTGTTCCCTAATGGAGGGCAGGGCAGCAGCTCACTATGCCTGTTTGTTATTTTGTCGCTCCGCTTGTGCCTCCAGCCATGCTTGGTGTTCAGCTGGCGGAGCTACATTGTTAAAACTGTGCAGGTGGGCGTTCCTCTGCTCAGGTCCGTCTTAATTACTTTTGTCCCTCTTTGCTTGCTGTACTTCATCGCGCTAGCGTAGGTGACGCCGCGCACAATCAAACAAAATGTTTCCTTGTGGTAGTCGAGGTTTCTCAGAGAGGACACGCTGGTCGACACCGCAGCCTCGCTGCAAAGTGTTGGGCTGATTGCGATTTTCACTTTGAGCCGTGAGCCATTTCTACATCCTACATGCGCCGGCTTAATTAAATAATTTATTCTGAGAAAATGAACAATCTGAGGGCTGGGTGATATGATCAAACAATCATGCCTCCCTCTGACTGGATTCAAATATGTGATGTTTACACCACCGTAGATTGGGACCGCTAGGAAATGTTCTTGATTTCCACGGAAACGCACAAAATTAACCACGTTATGGTTTTGATAGTGTAGTAATGAATAAATCTTTTATTTTTTTGAATTTGTCAAAGATGATTTCAGTTGATGTTAGCACAGTTAGAAAGACTTTTGCTGTGCTGTGAGAAGGTTGCAGGTTCAAATCCAGGCTGCTGCCCTTCTGTGTGGAGTTCTCATGCACGCGTGGGTTTTCCCGGGGTACTCGGGGGTTTCTTCTACGGGCCAGAAACATCCATGTCTGCTTAACTGGAGACTCAAAAATGACCCCGAGTGTGTGTGACTGTCAGTGGGATGACTAGAGACCTGTCCACGTCTCCCGCCTCTCACTGGGTGATTTGATGGACACCAGCTCAGCGCGACTCTACTGAGGAATAACTTTAAGCACGTTAGTAACAAGAGAAGTGAAAAAAAGAGAAAATAAGAACACGTTAGGAACAATTTTTACTTAACAATCACCTGTTAGAAAATTTTACTATTTAATATCTGGATCAGCTGCAGTTTATTCATCATTTCCGTTAAAATCTTTATTTCTAACGCTGATGGTGTCTGCATTTTTGCTCTTTCAATCTTCTCGGTCTAATTTCACGAGTGACCATTGAAAGCAAGAATATCTCCAAATGATTCCAGACTTTTGAGCAGTTTTGCATCTTCACGTCCCGATTGAGAAGGTTCTTCTCCCAAATTAGAGCCATTTAAGGCCGTGTTCACATGTAACCTGACAACAATTCTGCCCTTTGGTCTAACTTTTTGAAACAGTAGCTTTTGGTGCCATTTATCGTCATTTTGTGTGCACGATGGGCCAAACCTTGAAACCATATCTTCATTTTGGGGGACACCTGCTGCGAGTTCACATGGCCTAAGACTGCCTGATGATTTGTGTGAGCAAGGGCCATCTGGAGGTTTAATCTGTGTCAGAACAACCTCGTTAAATGTGATCATAAAAAAAAGTTACAGTATTTGTAAAAATCTAATGTTGTGACAAAAAGCAACTAATAGATGAAAAATTTGATCTTTTTTAGCAATTTGACTTCACAACAAAGCAATTTTCTGTTTTTTGTGTCACTGCAAAGACCTACGCCCCAAAAAAGCACAAATGCAATCAGCAGTGGTCTGAAGCCGGTGGCGGACTGGGCTGAGACTGCTGGGGACAAAATTGTAGGACAATTGGAAAACTTTTTTTTGGAACCACACTAAACCGACAAGTTTATACACACAAACACACACATCTGTACGAGGGGTGGTTTTTGAAGCAACAGTAAAGCCTGATTCATGCTTCTCCGTCAGCTCCGCAAGGGACAGACACGCACGGATTGACGGAAGCATTTTGCTCTCATACTTCTCCGTCTCCTGGAGAGTGTTGCAAAGCAATTCCCTGGCAGGACAACAGAGGGCGTAG